ATGAAATGGATTGGGTCATTGTCTTTCTTTGACGATCGGTGCATTTTTGTTTTTGTTTGCATCGGTTGTTTTCCTTGCATGTGTGCGCTGCGATAAGGACCTTCATTAAAATGATGCATTGTTTCACTTTTTCCTCCCCCGCAGGGACACGCTGGAAATGTAGGACCACCTGGCCCACGAGGAGAGAAGGTAAGTAACAGGAAAAAGAAACGGCGCTCAGACTAGGTGACCTCAATCGTAGGCTCCGCTTAAAACTTCTATGCGAGGAATTCATTCGTTTTTGAATGGGTCTTTTAATTAACTACAGGACCAATATAATCACTGGGCTGTTTTGATTCTATCCTTTTTTTTTTTAAAGAAATTTGAGTTGTTCGTGAAAAGATAGCAATGACGTAAATGCATTTGACACGCTCGTCTCCGAGGTGCATCAGAGTATGAACCATGAATTACCAATTCAAAAGACACATCTCGTTTTATTAATTTGAAAAATGTTTTGGGGGATTGTGGGGGGGCTTGTCTGCAGGGTAACTCAGGGAGAAGAGGAGCTGATGGTAAACCGGTGAGTTTGGATGAAGCTCTTTGAAACAGAATGCGTGATCCTGTCAAAACGTGAAAAGATTATCGTCTCAAAAAAAAAAAAACAGGGAAAACTTGGAGCTAAAGGATCTGCCGGCAAGGATGGAGTCAAGGGTGAAAAGGTACAAAAAGGATCCTGTGCTGCTTTAAATAAAAACTGCATTCCGATATATCCGCCAATTTACCACCAGTATGCAAAATTAACATCAACAAAAAATAATGGCAATTTTTCAATGTTTCAGTCACACGCTCTCCCTTCTTTTGTTCTATTTACAGGGAGAGATCGGACTGCCTGGTCTAAGTCTTCCTGGCCAGAAAGGGGAACCGGTAAGAAAAGACATCGGGACCGTGTCTTTATGTCCATCAAATTAACCTTCTTTCACCTCTGCCCTTCTAAAGGGCGTTTGTGGCTTGTGCCAGCCGTACGAGGTTGGCAGCGGACCTGCCAGCATCAAAATACCTGACGGAGCAAGAGGCAACCCAGGCGAACCGGGCCCTCCGGGCATGCCCGGACTTCCGGGCCTTGGAGCGGAAGGCAAACAGGTGCCGATAATAACGACTCAGCTCAAGCCAAATAGATTGCAAAAAGAAATCGGGAGAGATTTCAGAATGTGTCTCAGTGCGCGCTCACATGACTGTGTTACACCCACCCAGGGCCCCCCGGGTGCTACTGGAGAGAGAGGAGATAAGGTAAGATTCGGAAAGGCTGCGATACCCACTCAAGTCCCATCAACTATTTCACACAACATTAAGCAGGCCTTGTCTCGGCCGAAAAAGGAAAGTACATAAATAAACCTGCTTTTTTTTTTTTTTTCCCTAAGCTACATAAAACAGGCTTCAAATGCCTAAGTAGGTCGTTGGACCATCGTAACTGATTAGATGCGATGAAAGGATGATTTCAGAAAGTCTGACCCAAAATGATGATCAGGTCTTTCTTTTTCATTTACCTTCCAAATACATTTCAGCTATCGACCGAGCCAGACTGCTTTAAGTTATCTGCAAATTCTACTTCAAACCTTTGTGTAAAGTTTCAAGTAGTCTATACCCACACTGATACATGAGCATTTTAACCACTAATACAAAACTATGAAAAATATGTCCAGTAATACATACTATAGAGAGAGAGAGACAGAGAGAGAGGGAGAGAGAGAGAGAGGAGAGAGAGAGAGCAATTCACTACCGCCATGACCGAAAGAATGAAATCCTGGATACAGATGAGGTGGCTCGGGCATCTGAGTAGGATGCCTCCTGGATGCCTCCCTAGTGAGGTGTTCCAGGCATGTCCCACCAGCAGGAGGGCGGCCCTGGGGATGACCCACGACACGCCGGAGAGATTATGTCTCCCGGCTGGCCTGGGAACACATTATGAAAGAAGTGGCTGGGGAGAGGGGAGTCTGGGCTTCAGTGCTCAGTCTGTAGGGCCCGCGACCCGACCCCGATAAGCGGGAGAGAATGGATGGATGGACAAATAATACTTGGATGTGCACATCTTATCAGGGTGACCAAGGTGACAAAGGGGATACGGGAGACAATGGTGCTCCTGGAGTCCCAGGACTGCCTGGAGAGCCTGGACGAGATGGACAAACGGGCCTCAAGGGAGAAAAGGTACTGAGCAATCCGCCATTAGGGTGCCACTGAAGGCATGACTTAAGTGTAACGTTATTCAATGATTGCTGCTTAGAAGCTGTTGCGAAAGGATGATGCCCAATACTCTTGATGGATTTGCTAATGACAGGTTGTTCCTCAAGAGTTCTGCATCCAACTTCGATTTGATGCGTTTTGCCAGGGTGAAGCTTGTACCAGCTGTTCATCTCTGGGCACTGCAGTGGGTGACGGTGTGGCTGTGCCTGGGCCGAAAGGAGAGAGGGGAGAGCCCGGACCCCCAGGAACAGGGAAAACGGGCAAAAATGTGCGCAAAGCATGTTTGGAGTTTTTACTTGACAATAGGTGCGAATTACATCACATACCTTTGCCTTTTTTTTTTTTTTTCATAGGGTAAACCAGGCTTGCCAGGCATACAAGGTCCTCCTGGTCTTAAAGGCAGCAGGGTATGATTCAATTTACTGGGCTTTTGCTGTGATGGATATAAAGGATTATGTTGCTGTGCCCTACGCAGGGAGAACCTGGACCCGTAGGAGTTGGCCAACCAGGCGCACAGGTGAGGCAGAATCACTTGCAATAAAATACAGTATGGACAAACAAACAAATGATTTTTTTTCTTTTTATCAGCTGCATCCCCCATCTCTTTTTGTGTTTGTAGTCAGTAGCACATGTGGGTCATATTGCTGTTTCCCGCTCTCATCCAAAACAAGAATATGTACAGAGAGAATAACAAGAACAAAGAAACCCAAAGATGACAAACCCCCCCCCCCCTCACCTCCAACCAGTTATAGCCAAGATGTTAGAAAAAGATCAAAGGTCCAACTAAAACCAAGAAAAAAATACCTCAGATGTCATCGGCCTCCGAAGGAAAGGGTTATGGCAGGGGTGAGCAATTATTTTTCCCCGGAGGACCGGGCCGAAAGTTTAAAATCTACTCTGGTTATCGATTCTATTTCTATGTTGAAATAAGTAAATGACATTGTTTACAAACACTGATGAGATGTGTTATTGTTAGATAGCAAGACTTCAGTTGCTTTAAAAAAAAAAAACTATTCAGTGAAATTCCGCAAAACAATTGTGCAACATTTGTACCTCTTTTCCCATAACATGAACACCAAAACGCTTTCTGATTTTAACTTTCCATGAAGATACCACATTGTCTTTGTATGCCACTAATCATGCAACAACTCAACAACATTTTTGTCCCAACTGCCAAACATTGCAGGAAAATCCAAGCAAGCATGTTTCAGAGTTCGTTTTTGAGCTTCTACAATGCATCAGAGCAGGTTGAATGCTTGAGGTGGAGATGTAAACAGCACATGACAGATGCTCAGGAGTAATAAGAGAGGGTCTGTACCTGGATTTGTTGATCTTCTTTTGTTGCTCCGGCCAGATGAGCGCCGCAGAGTCCACCAAGCACTCTTGAACGAATTTCCTCTCCGAAAACGGCTTCGTGTCCTTCGCGATGTTGTGGGCGATCACAACGCCGGTCCTGGTTGCTGCTTCCCCGGTTGCGCGTCACTTGGAAAAATAGCCTCGTCGTTTTTCGAGCTTCGCATGCACATCTTCGGATATCTGCGTTCTCCCATCCTCGGTCAAATGTCGGCATTTTTCCGCATGCTTCGTCGGGTAACGCCGACTCGCGTTGTCGTCCTCGACGGCGACCGGCTCACCGCAAACAAACAATTCGTCTCACCTGTACCTGGACGTAAACGACGCACGCACAACGTAAACAGATTTCAAAGTAAAAGTTCTGCTGTTTGAGTCCACGCACTATGCACAGTTTTGAAAGTCGGTTTTATTTGATTCTTTCCAAGCAATATTTTGCAGGCCAGTAAGAGCCGGGCCGCGGCCCAACACGCAATATCCAAAATTTGAAAGTACTTTAGCTTTTATTTTCTTAATTCCAAGTTACTCTTACTTGCACGCAGTAAGAGCCGGGCCGCATTCGGCCCACGGGCCACGAATGCCACCTATGGGTTCAGGTTAGCGTTATTCGGACTGATATTAAATGATGATCATTTTTTTTCCGTGTGGTCTGTGTTTACATTTTCCATGTCTGCCAGATTTAACATAATAATGCTCTCAAAAAAACCAAGGATGGATTCAGAAAATACTTTAATTGTTTATTTGACCATGGACTTGGCTTAACATCGTGGAGAGAAACCACTCTTTGACCAGCACTTTTCTCAATGTACTTCAAAGGGCATCGAAGGACCCAGAGGACTGCCGGGTATTGTTGTAAGTTTGAACTTCATTGCTTAAGTCGGACGTTTTGATTCTTTCGAGTAAAATCTAAAATTGATGCTTTATTCAGGGACCTCCAGGATCCAGAGGAACACCCGGCCCTGCAGGTCCCGTTGGAGAAAAGGTCAACCATTCATTATTACTCTCGGCTGCTATCCCTAACGTGTTCCATTTGTAGTCATGCAGTCGAACATGATTGGGGTTTTCCTATCCGCAGGGCATGACAGGAGATGCTGGACCTCCAGGACCGCAAGGGCCAGTGGGCTTCGGAGTAACTGGGCCACCGGTATGACAGCATCTTTTCCCGAGCCATTCACTTCACCGCTGCATATGCACGGATTGATGTCAACCCTTTTGACTTTTACACCCACAGGGTAGAGACGGTGCCCCGGGCGCCCGCGGAACTCCTGGAGCTGATGGCAGACCTGTGAGTTGTTTTGTTCATGTATTGTCTTAAAAAAAAAAAAAAAAACAACAGAAAAAAAAAAAAACATCTCTCTCTGCCAGCGACGTATAGTGACCGTTAGAAGTAAATGCTCTTCCATGAAGTTGCCATCCGTACAACAATAATTCTGTCCTCAACAAAACAACCTAGATTGCACACTGAGTAAATATGTTTGTGAGCAAATTGAGATGTGATCATCATTATTTCAGTATACACGCTATATTTGGTGGCATTTGTGTTCGATAGTGTGCCGTGAGATTTTTATAATGTTTGAATATGGCTCAATATAGGGCGGAACACACTGCTGTATAGATGGTGTGACATCATAGCAGTGAGCCAGTATTGAACTTATCCATGAGTTGAAGACACATAAACACGAGACAAAGTAGTGCTACGTGCTAATAACCGTAAACAAATCGTGCAAGCTTATTATATTCTTGTCTCTGTGTTACACGACTGAAATATGACTCCCTTTTTCCTATTTTACTTTAACGTTCCATTACATCACAGTTGTAGGAATTCTCTTAACCAACCAATAGGCAGCCATGCATATTTAGCATGTAAGTGAACCAAACCACAGTACTGTAGTACAGGTAGTATCGAAGTTACACACAATACACATTGTTCATTGCACTCAACAGAAAATAAAAACAACAACAAGAAAAAAAACACAATGTTTGGCAAGGTAAAAATCTTTTGTTGCCTCCTTGTACTGCCAACGAGCGTCATGTTCTTTTCGCCCGTTTTAGAATTGCCCTTGATTTTAGGCAACACTGATAACCAAGGATGTGTGCCTCTATCTCGAACAGAGGCATTGTCTTCTGCCGTCACATCCACGGTCCCCTGATCTGTGCCCAGCTCACGGCCCCGAGCTTTCTTCTTGATTAACAAACAAGTGCGTGCGTGTGTGTGCTGTGTTTGTCTTCTCTTGCAGGGACTTGACGGAGCTAAGGGGGACAAGGTAAGTCTACCATTTTTTTTGGATGAAGTGATCTCTGAGGGGTTAGAATATGAGAGGGTGGAACAGATGGTAATTACACACACACACACACACACACACACACACACACACACACACACACACACACACATTCGCACACTGGCTATGGGGCGATCGACAGAGAAGCAGTCGAGGTGACAAGTGTATTGTGGTTGGTAAACAAGAGTAGTTTTGGAGTCTTTTGTCAGCAGTTGCCTCAGACTATTACTTAGCATATTCATCAGATTCCCCAGCCAAAGGGGTCATGTGCGGTTGAGTGAGATAAGAGAAAATAGTCGCGATGTTGTACTTTCAAAAGTTAAATGGCTTTAATGTGAAGGATAGGAGCTGTTGGGAAAAAGTGAGAGGATACGGTTCAGTCAACCGCATTCAAAGGAGATGACGCAAATCATTTTTGTTGAAACGTGTACTTGATGTATACTGAAGGGACGCACGGAGCCACGTTAACAATATGCAGAGGCTTTTAATCTTGCACTGCAATACTTACATTCTTGTTCTTTTTAGGGTGACCCTGGCGAGTGTAACTGCATCATGCCAATGCAGTCAGGTGCAGGAGGACCTGTGAGTATAAACAGAAACATTGATTTTACGGAAATTTCACGTGAACATTTTGCGGTAGTGCAGCTGGCCATAGTCAAGGCTCTCCTTTCTCAAGAGCACTTTGAAACAGTCATTCCCATTCATCACGTCCTGGCCGGATTACTGTCATGCACTTTACTTTGGAGTCAGCTAATCCTCCATGAAGCGTCTCCAGTTGGTCCAGAATGCTGCCGCTCAGCTCTTGGCTGATATTCGTAAGCGGGAGCACATCACTCCTACTCTGGCCTCCCTTCACTGGCTCCCATTGTATTTTTATTCTTTGGCTTTTGACTTGGCGCGTGACTTGATTTTTAGTTTGACTGTTTTTGTGCTTTCTAACATTTATTGTTTGTTGCTGTATGAATTATTCTTGCGCCGTGTCCGGGACTTTGATTACAGCGCTGGTTGTTTTAAAGTGCTCTCGAAATGCAGTTGAGTTGAGAGTCGAGTTTTTCACTTTTCGACTTGTGAGTGCTATCTGCATCCTGTTTGAGCAATGGCTTGATTTTGATGCCTTTCTCCTTCCAGGGAGCCCCCGGGGCTGTGACCGGCACATGGCAGCCTGGCCCTCAGGTTTGATCCGTGTGCCGGTAGCGTTCATTTTATTGCATTATGAATGCGCAATGTTATGTTTTGCTTGCGTTATGCTATGTGTTGCAGGGACCCCCAGGACCACCGGGCCCACCGGGCCCACCTGGGCCTCACGGTGCCAACGGACTTCAAGGACCTCAGGTAAGAGACATGGGATCAGGCTGGTGGGGGATTCTCTCTCCGGTTCAATTCAGCGGTAGATGTTTTGCCCTGAATTGAACATCACGCTACTTCCAGTTGAGGCTTTCAGCTTGCTTGGTTGGGGTCCTTAAGTGAGGATATGACACGCTTCGACAATTGATGGCTCATAAAACGCATGCTGGAATTAGCTCAGGGAATGGCAGGTGTGCAACCCGAGTCATCAACATTTGGCGATAAAAATGCACTAATGCTTCATGCTTCAATGCACCTTGAAGCGCAACTGAGCCAACTTTGTTTAATGTCGGTCTCGACATAAACTCTTATTTGAAGGTCTTCCGTTCGATATCAGCTGTAGGTGCATTGTTTGATTTATATCTGATATGCCTTCAAATAAAGTGTTACTGGGGTCTGTGCTCCAAGAGTCAAAGGTGTTTAAAAAATACACAAAAAAAAAAACAAAAACGTGGTGATGGGGGATAGTCATCACTAACTAGAGTGTTTTTTTTCCACAAACAATTGAGAAATATTCACTCCTTTGTGATGCAAATTCTCATTATTATTCTTTTTTAATGGGACTCATGAAATATTCATGCCTTTGGCCTGTACATACCCGGAACCCAAACGAGAAGGAACAGGTTCCAATCGTTTTTGATCCCTCATCCTTTGACTCTACTTTGACCTCTCGTGGAGATGGGAGTGGTTATCCCTCGATTGGCAACAAATCAGTTCAACCTCAGTTCCTTCTTTCAGGGTATCCCTGGAAGCGACGGGATACCAGGGAAACCGGGTTTGCCTGGATACGTTGTAAGTAAAATTAGAGAGACAAGGAGTTGAGGTGGCATTCTTCTACTGACTGTGCAATGAACACCCCAAGAACAGTGATCACATGACTGTCTCTTTCCAAGAGAAGACCCTGTCACGATATGCCTGCCTTTTGTGTGAATGCTGAATGTGAATGTGAAGAATTCACATCTTGCGAGCTGATCCTTTTCTCATTCCAAACATTGACATTTTTTTCCCACAATTCCACATTTCTCACCCCATAAAATCCCCATTCATTTGCAACGAGACAGTCAACAATTTGCTCTCATTCCAAATTCTAAATGTGCAACTAATTCAATTCACCTTGGGGTTCATTTCCAACATCCACACAATTCCCACATAGCAAAAATTCCACATTTTCACTGGCGTAATTGCACTTTATGCACCCACTCATCTGCAGGTGCGGACTCGGGTTAAGGTTAAGGGTTTCTTCTACTTTTTTTCAAGTTTCAACTACTTCTACAATTCTTGACTGATTCAAAACATTCCAACTTGAACTGCTGCTTTTTCATTCCAAACCTTTACATGTTTCCTACGATTCAACATTTTCAGTCTACACATCACTCTACCCTACAATGAACACAAATAGCTTGCATATTATGTGACGGCTCTGCCATTGATATTGAAGATGATGCATATTAGCCGCTCTGCATATCAAACTTCTGATTTCAGAGAACAAAAAAAAAGATCTTACATTGCACAGAAAAAGTCTGAAAGGTTGAAAAGGTCGGTTTGACCTCGCGTTGGTGAATACATCATCACATCACAACATTTGCGCCTCTGTTTCGGTGCTTGGGAGTTGACCGTTTAATTTCTTTTTTTAATCTAAGACACCACCGGTGGCTGGCACAAGCCGTTTTTTTTTTTCTTTTTTTAAGAATAAAGATGGGGGTTTTTTGTTGTTTTTTTGTTGTTGTTGTTTTTTTTTTTTGCTTGTGATGCTTTTGTTTAATGAACTAAATTAATTAAAGCAAGACTCCTTTTGGTGACAGTTCATTTTTATCATGCACATTTATGAAAATGCAACACAATTGATTCATTTTAGTTGTGCCACCCTACTATGCACTCCACAATGTACCAAAAAGTGAACGAGCCTCATACCGCATGAGTCGCTGTGGTCTCTTATGCATTGAAATTCCAAAATGAAAACTCATTGAAAGTCAATTTTTGCAGAGGCCTGACTTGCAGCTGCTGCCTCAAGATGCTTCTGACGAAGATCAAGATGTGAGTTGATTTGATATCCCCTTCTGTTCATGCTGAGAAATTGTTTTCAACATTGATTCTTCTTCTTCTCATTTACGCCAAAATGCAGAAAGCCTGTGTCGGGGACTGCTCCCAAGGGATGCCAGGGGTGCCAGGTATGGCTGGGGCCAAAGGAGAAAAGGGAGACCAGGGCAAGCCTGGCGTCACACCCTTGGATAACTGTGATAGCGTAAGAAAAAAAAAAAAACATCTTATTTTAGCTTGTTCATCAAAGTATGAGACAAAAAACATTATTTTGGCATCATATACTTTTTTGTTGTTGTTGATGGGTAAACAATAACGTATTGCACATCTATCTTGTCTGCTTACAGTGTCTGGAGAAACTACAGGCAACAGATCCGAGGGTCAGACAATTGACACAAGCGCAGCGGAATTGTGTGAAGGTTTCTTGATATTTATTTCTTGGGCGTTGTAGGATCCCTGCTCCTGTACAGGATCACCCGGCGTTCCAGGGGTGCCAGGCTCACAGGGAATACGCGGGGAGCCTGTGAGTAGGCATTTGCCGGGCTACCGTGCGTGTCCTTTTTTCACGTGAAGAAACGTTGTTTCTTAATCTTTTCTACAGGGTATACAAGGGGACAGAGGACAAGCTGGACTTCCAGGAAACATGGTGAGGATTTCGCGCAGTACAGATTTGACTCATTGAAAGTGTCTTTTCAAGTTCGAGCTTTTCTGTCGTTAGCGTGTTCTATGTATTCGTGAGCAAATCTAATCATTCAAGGCCATGGGGTACACACTGTCACCAGCTGGACTCGCTAAAAATCTTGTTCAATACAATTGCGACAAATTATGCGTTGGATGTATTTATTTGACATTAGGTATTGTAACAAGTTCAAACCTGTGTTTATGTTTAGCCTATGTCCGTATTTATTTGCATCTTGCCATTTGTTCACAGGGCCCTCCAGGTTTCCCAGGTCCTCCGGGCCCATCTGGCTCACCTGTATGTTTCATTCACACCGTTAATTTCATTTTTATCCGACTTTTGTTGAAAGTCCTTTAAGGTTCTTACTTACATCAGTTCTATACACTGAAAATGTTCATCGACCTTTGCATCTCCCTTTTACAAACATATATCGTCAGGGTCCGCAAGGCGAACAAGGGTCAGCTGGCATCGCCGGAATCAAGGGTGAACAGGAAAGTATCTGCCTACCAGTGCCTTCCAATGATGTTGTGTGGAAATGAAATCATGATTTGGGCAATCCCTCCCTCAGGGCCCTTCAGGGACGCCAGGCTATCCTGGATCCATGGGGCCTCCGGGAATGCCAGTAAGTGAAATCCTCAGAAGAATAACACTGACAGAGATCTGACCGCTTGGTTGGGTACAAAGTGGCGGGGTTGACTCTGCGATGTGACCCGGAATTGATTGACTGGCCTCCATTTTCTTCCCAGGGACTGAAGGGTGAACGCGGGAGCCCAGGGACGAGCGGTCAGAAAGGAGAATTGGTACAGGAACCACAATGTCAGCCTTCTCATATACACAGAGTCTTTCCGTGAGTGTTTCACGTTATCTTCTGCTGTAGGGTCCTTCGGGTCTCCCCGGGTACCAAGGACAGGCGGGCGCACCGGTCAGTGTTTCATGATGCATTGTTTTTGCATCAATAGCTTATCGACAGACATCAATCATAAATCCCGTCTTTGGTTTTAGGGAGGTAAAGGAGACACAGGGCCAGCAGGACCTGTTGGACCAAAGGGTGATCAGGTAGATGTGAGCAACATTACGGCATACAAAACTGAATCGTGTGATATTTATGTTCTGTTACGTTTGAAGGGCTTTCAAGGACAACCCGGATTCCCTGGAACGCCGGTAGGATTTTATGCTTTACCGCTTCACTATACGCGTACGCTTTATTACTTTCTGTATAACTCTGAAATCGTTCATGTATATTCAGGGCCCACCTGGCCTTGCTGGCAAAATTGGAAGAGAAGGACCCCCAGGACTCAAGGGTGAAAAGGTGAGTATCTTGTATGCATTCAATTATGTATTGTACCAAGATACGAATTGATTCTGTTCTCTCTTTCACAGGGCAATGATGGTGCGCAAGGTTCTCAAGGATCAACTGGACCCCCAGGCTCATCAGGCTCCCCAGGACTAATGGTAGAAACAATATTAATAACTCAACATCTTTTACATTTGAGCCATATTATTCCATGATGAGATCTCAGCGGCTGGTGTTTGCAATTAAAGGGTCCTCCTGGCATCGAGGGAGTTCACGGAAAAGACGGAAAACCAGGGCTTCGGGTATGTTTATATGCAGATTTTATAGATATAGGGGGGTGGGGATTGGGGCCAGTTTCCTGTTTGCAGCTGTTCTGGGCAGGCTTTCTTCATTTTATCTTTATTTGTTGTGTGACTGTTTGTTTTCTTGCCAGGGAGAGCTGGGCCCACCGGGACCAGCCGGCCCACGAGGAATGCCAGTGGGTAGCACCTTCAGAGTTCTTCATTGTCTAATAAGGCCATCTTGCTGTGTATTACACACAAAAAAAAGCCTTGGTAGAATTAAATCCAATACGTAATGAAGAGTGTTGACCCTGCGCAGAATTAAGAAGAAAATAAAAACAGTATGTTGGTTAAATGAAAAAAAAAAAAGCTTGATTTAGATATGCACGGCAGACATTGTTCAATTTCCTGCTTGCGAAAAAGCAAATGAAGCATGTTGGGTTGTCGTGTACTAAATGCAAATAAGGGCGGTCTGATGATTAGCGCAATGTTTACATACAATGAGGATGGAATAGCACACGAGCTCATTCTCATTCAACTAAAAAGTCGTTCACAGCTACGTAGAACTTGCTGGTTTTGTTAGCCTTAACCTAACATAAGTTGAAACATGCATACACATTCTGCATATCAAGTGCCAGAAATCATTTTCTTTTTCTTTCTTTTTTTTTTTTTCAAGCAAGTCCTCCCTAAACCTTGCTCTCGACTTCACTGACAGAACCATAACATGTTTGAGTCCTTCACATTTTGGCAAAAAGATTTAGTCCGCAAACAAGCTAATCCTGTTTGTGTCGTAGTCAATGTTTTATCACCAAATATTTTCCACCCTAATGAGATTTCCATCAGCCAGAGCTGCAAGGTATCCTGTTTTACGAGCAATTGAACGTGCGCAAACACAATTACGATGATCATCATGTGGACCATTATCCGCCATGATCATATCTATATTCATGTGAATAGTTGGATTGTATGACCATTACAGGGATAGTAACATAAGTGCTTCTGGCAATTTGAGATGTTCTCATTTTACCGTATTTTCCCTGACGGTCACACATGTACAGTCACCGTCGTCCCTGTGCAAGGCAATAAAGTTGATTGTCTTCCTCCCCGGTTGTTGATTTTCCTAACGGAAATCAACCAATCGTATGCTTGATTTCAACTTGCAGAGATTTTTTTGTGTCATTTATTTATTTTGTTTTTATCCTAATTGTGTCTTTGCTGACATCTCTCGTCAGGGATTCAAAGGGAAAACTGGCCACACTGGATTTCCAGGACCAAAGGTTGGCCGATTATTACTTTTGTCTTTTTTTTTTCTTACATTTGCAATTGTAGAAAATGGTGCCAGGAAGTGAACATTTGATTATTGAACTCTAGTTTGATAGTGTCCAAGTGATTATTAACTGAGTGGTGAATTCTACCTTTGCTGACACTTTTTATGACACTCTCGCACCTCCAGGGGGAAGCTGGAATTTCAGGCCCACCTGGACCACCAGGTAGACCAGGGCACGAGGTGAGTGTTTCCTTCTTCTTAAAAGAGAAGCTCCATTATCTCTGCAGACAAAGCCCCATAGTAATGACTGTGATCTCAATCTGTGACCTTTCCAGGGTGATCCCGGCACGCCAGGAGCTCAGGGACGACCGGGACCATCTGGTCACATTGTAGGTTCATTTCTATTTTTGACTCTTTTTTTTGGGGGGGGGCTTCAAATGTATGCGGGGCTGCTGTTATACTGTTTGATTTTATCCAACAGGGTTCACCAGGTCCAGCTGGACCCCCAGGACCTCCCGGTCCATCTGGATTGGTGAGATTCTCACAAGCGTGTTATCATGGTGACCTGGATGACTCATTTAATTGCTTTTTTTTGTTTGTTTGTTTGTTTGGGAGAGGGCGAGTCAAAGGACATGTAGCAAAACATGATTGAAATACTCCAGGAATTAGTATGCATTTTGTGGTTTTGTAGGGTATAAAGGGAGATAAAGGTCAGATTGGAGAGAGAGGTCTTCCAGGAATGCCTGGAACCCCAGGTCCACCTGGTCACCCAGGATTAATGGTAAGCACTGTACAACAGCCCACAATGTACTCGTTGGAACCCACGTCCATACATATACGGCATATAACATGTTTTCTTCCTACCTTGTCTGTTGCTCTCTAGGGCGAGCCAGGAAATGATGGTTCTGCTGGTAAAGATGTGAGTAACGACCAGCGTTGAAGTTCTTGTGTTCAGTTTCTTTCTGGCAATTTCACCTGTTTTTTTTTTCCTTTTTGTTTTTTTTCCCCCTCCTCAGGGCTTGGCGGGCCTTCCTGGTGAGAACGGGAAAACAGGTCAAAAGGTAAGCGCCATCTCAGCAAGTGCTCTCTCTCCATCAGCTCCGCAGAGCATCTCAAAAAGCAGGACGATGCTCCTTTTTTTTTACTACTTTAGGTTATACTGACGCTCGGGCCAATGTACTGCACTGCTGAACATGCGTTCTCTCAGCATTTCTGCCCACTCTGCACCCATGCCATACATAGCCGTACTTTCACTCTCAAATCCTCCTCGCGAAATCATCTTCACTCCTGACCTCAGTTTACCCTTCTTCACACTGGCAGTCGGCCACCTACGTCCAACAATCTCTTCTTAGACACGGGATTCCAGTCTGTGTGTACAGTGATATAGCTATTCGCCGCCTCGGGGATAATGCTATTAAGCATGAGAGGGAGATGCTAGATGAGGCTATTTGTCACGCTGACAGGACGCCATTGTCAGGGTTTTAGCTGCACAGAGGAGAAAGACAAAAACGGACTCCTCAATTCTTCTCCACACTCTCTATTTCAAGAGATGCCTGTCTTCCTGTGACACGTAAACATCGGTCGTCCATTACGGGCGCCTTTGTCCTCGATAAATCACTATCCCTAATGTGGCAAGTCTGGTTTTCAGTGTTTTTATGCAATCAGAGTGAAGGGTGCTACGGAAAGGAAATTGATATGGTTGTAGCCATTTTTTTTTTTTTTTTTTTTTTTTTTTGTGCTTTAGTACATGCCATCCAAACGGTTGTGTTCACTCTCTGAGGAAAGTTTTTTTTCAACTTTTCATACAAATACGGAGAACATTAGCGGAACAAATTGAATGGCTGTCTCTCCATCTCTGGAAAGGGTGAACCTGGGGCCACTGGGGAAAGAGGCCCTCCGGGGGAGAGAGGCAGACCAGGGCCCCCTGGTGGAGGCTTGGGATATCACTCCAAAGATGCACAGCCGATGATTGGCCCGGTGGGGCCCAGAGGGGAGAGGGGAAACTCTGGCCCAGCCGGCCCCCCTGGACTACCTGGAACTCCAGGCTCACCGGGAAATGATGTGAGTGAAAGTACCGTCACACCCGTTTCACTTACGTTCTTATTATTAAAATACTTGCAGTAGTTTGAAACTTTTGACCAATGCTTTCCATCATTTCTCAGGCTGTTGTCAATTACGATGAAATCAAGAGCTTCATCCGCCAGCAGGTCATCAAGATTTTTGATGGTGAGGAAAGGCAACAATCCCTGATACGCTAGCATTTACAGAACAGTGGAGCCTTTTTTTTTTTAATTATTATAATTATAGATACAATTATAGCAAGGAACTAGATGTTAGGAGCAACCTCAACTCAATTACACTTCACAACAGTTTGGCAGCTAGTAAACAATTATTTAAAAAACAGACATCAAGCAGGTTATTGCCTCTCAAGGCAGAGTTTACTGTCGAAGTGAACGGCATCGACTCTTCTTGAGCTCACTTTCGCCTTTGACAATGAATATTTATCGTTCATGTGCAATCAATTCAATGCATCTCATCTCCCCAGAGAGAATGGCCTACTACATGTCTCGTATGCAGATGCCTGTAGAAATGGTATCATCTCCCGGTCGGCCCGGGCCGCCAGGGAAAGACGGCATTCCCGGTAATCCCGGAGCCCCCGGCGCACCTGGCATCCCAGGCCAGATCGGCCGATTAGGTCGACCTGGACCCCAAGGCCCAGCTGGTGAGAGGAGCAACCGGCAACCAACTTGTCATCGGTCATTTAAAAGTTTCACGTGCTTCAAATAATCAATTCTTTTTAGGACCAAGGGGCCCAGTGGGTGCAAAAGGAGATAAGGGTGTAGGTGAAATGGGAGATGTCGGACCGCCAGGAGCACCAGGTGATGTATAGAACTGGTCCTCACACTGCATGTTTTTGAGATCACGAAAAAAACCTCCACTCCTGACACTTTAGTATGTTAATTCTGCAAATGTTTTATAAGTCACTGATTAGAAATTTCCAACATGATTATGCTCGTCATCATTTTATGTTCTAATTACCATCATAATTAAGTCAGGAATCAACAGCTGGGCTACTTTACATAGCTCCAGTTACAAGTAGCCATCTGTAATCACAGGTTTGGGTGGTCTTATCCATTTCCAGCCCACCATTTTGTTGACAGTATGCTTTCAGTGCAAAGTGAAACGGGAACATTTATGATTACACTTTGTAATATTGAACTCATGCTGAATTTGATCATCTAGAATGTCCTTCATTTGGTTGCGTTTGACCTTTCAGGTATCCCGGGTTCCCCAGGGTATGGTAAGATGGGACCCCCAGGTTCCGTTGGCCAGCAAGGAGTTCCTGGAATCCCAGGTCCTCCTGGACCGGCTGGTTCAAAGGGAATCGACGGCCGGTGTAACCCTTCAGACTGCATGAGCCGTCAAGTGGAATATAGCCCCAAGGGCCCGTCTGTCAAGGGCCCCTGGTAAACGAGCGGAGGGCAAGGAGGGGAGAGGTCGGGCAAACCAAAGGACATAAAGCCGGGAATTCTGACCGCAAACTTAAAGATGGCAACTTCCTTTGTTATTGAACAGCGCCCATGTTTGTTTGTTTGTGCAAAAATCCACATTCCTCTTCCCCTACTTTGACCTAAGCGGTGAATCTCAATTCCATCATTCTTTCCTTATGAATTCCACTTCTTTCTCATATCATTCTTTGTTGTTGTTTTGCCTTCTCTTCACCATGTTTCACTCCTTCAAACCAACCACGGGAAGGTGAAAGGATCCCTTTTTCTTTGTTTTTTTTCTTTGTCAAGTTTAGAACGCAGCCACGTGTACTGTAGCAGCTTGCTTGCACCTCTGATATCACAGTGCCTCACAAACCTTCACAACGGCTTCAGCGCTTGTGGTGTTTGTTCTCCGTAGTTGAATTGGGTTTCGAAGAGAATGGATGCGTACGCACCCTTTTCGAGGGCTTTACCGTTTTGTAAATATTTCTATTTATATATAGCAGCTTTTTATACATTTTGAAACATTTGATGAGCGACGTCATACCATCGCCATGGAAATACTGTCCACCAAACGTGCGGAGAGCTTGTCACCCTATTTCAAGTGAAGAATTGAATTCATGATTCAAAAGTACGCTCACAGTTTTTCACATTCAAGCAACAGTTCGGACACGCTTTGATGCCGATTCGGCTTTCTAGAACATTTGCGGCCGTTCGTCTTAAATGCAAGTCAATAGCTTTGGATTCACAAGCTAGCAAAATGCTATTCTACTCCCTGGGGGGGCATTTTTAGGCTTTAGTATCCCACTGATTGTTCAGAATAGCCAAGCCTTGAAAAACAAAACTGTGGTTTCTCTCAGAAACAGAATTCAACTGTGTTTTGAATGGCTGTACGATGCCACTCTATATGCTTGCTGTGTATATGTTGTTTCAAGACATTGCTGTGCAACTCGTGTTTCTTCCTGAGGTTGTTTTATAAATCATTTGAGAGACAAAAAAAAAATATGCAAAGCAAGGGTTGTTGTTTTCATTCGCATTATATTTGTGCAATCGGTATGTCCCATGTCTAGAAATGACAGGATTTACAGTATGTATGAGCACTCATGTTGAAACTTGCCAAACAAGTGTTGACAAATTGCAAGCTGCAGCAAACCCCCCCCGCCCCCTAAAAAAGGACTGAATTGATATAAATGATAATAGGGGAAGAGGTTTTTTACATAATAATAAAGAAGAGTGAATTTTATAAAAGGTTCCTTTTTATTGATTTGGTTTGACTTGAACAGCCAGAAAAAAAAAAAAAAAGATTTTACAGTCGATTACGTTCAGAACAATAAATAACTTCTTTTATCATTGCTGACACCCCGCTGAAGGTTGACAGTGGCACAGGAAGCACATTCAGACTCCAAATGAGAATTATTTCTGAAAATGCGATTAATCTCTGGATTCTTGATCGGCGCATATCGTAACCCATTCCTTTTTCGCTACATAATAATCAACACACATTTACAAAGATTTACAGCACTGCATTGTGGGAGATGGGAGTGCCCGTTGGGATATGCCGTTGCCAGGCAACAAGAGGAAGAGATAAAGCAGTCGTTAGTTTCTAAAATGAGACTTGGGCAGAAAGCGGGTAATGGAGAAAGGATAGAAGCGGGCGCACGGGGGGGTGAATGAGGGATTTCGCTCAAGCTTACAATTGGCAATAATACAGGTGACAAAGGTATTGTACTGAGAGTACATTTCGGATTCATGAGTCCTTTGCGTCGTTTTTCTTTTTTCCCCCGCCCCCTTCCGAGGCATTTATTTGCCAGATGTGATTTCGCATGAGAGGCAGGATGTTTTAACTAACTAATCGCAACATATTACATCTATAAAACCGTGGCGCCAACGTACTTTCTACTTTGCCGTCAAGTCCTCTCATCTCACGGAGATGCACGTGTTCCCGAGAAGAATTCAGATGGATGTGGGTGGCTGTGACCTGCTGTTGTCATTGTGATGTCAGGGATTAAGGAGAGAGAACTCCCATCGGGTTGTCTATCTCAAAAAAGGGAGGGGGAAGGGGGGGAGGGTGTACATCCTGTCAACGTACTCCCCCCCCACCCCTTTGCTTATGGTGTTCAAGTGAGAAGAGTGGTCTCTGTCCTTCTCTCCCTCCCCATTGTCATGAACTTGGTGAACGGAGAGAAAATTCTAAATGTTGGGTCCTTTGATGGTTCCCGCCTCCTGTAGTCTCGGAGAGGTGTACGCCGACGCGGCCAGACACATTGCGGCCTCGCAAAAGCCCGGGAGGCCTTGCGGACCCGCCTTACCGGGACGGCCGGCTTCGCCGGCTGCTCCCTGAGGGCCTCTCTCGCCAGGCTTGCCGTTTCGAGCCACGCCGTCAACACCGGGAGGACCTGAGCGGGCAACAAGCAAGCGTCGGTCGTTTACCGCATTGTTCATGGCCGCTTGGGTTAGCATGATCCCTCATTGGCTAATATCCTCCAACTACATGTGGAATTTCGATGACATGAGGACTGCGTGTGGGCGTATGGTTATGCGGCAGGCCGTTCTCCACAGTTTCAATTAGATTCCGCTGTTGAAATCCTTATCACTCCAGAGCATCTGTTCAATGACTAAAGTTAATGATGCTTTTGAAATGCCCTTAAGTAGACTCTCTGGTGGCGAGAGCAGCCCCCCCACCCCCCTTGCCCCCCGTGGGGTTTGCCAGGATCTCCTCTGTCACCCTGAGCCCCTCTCTTTCCTGGCAATGACAAGAAAGAAAATAGACTCGGATGTGCCCTGGTCAATAATCAATTGTCGGGACTTTATTTTTTTTACCTTTAAGGCCTGTGTTTCCAATCTGTCCGGGAGCTCCAATCATGCCAGGAATGCCCCTCGAACCAGGTAGACCGTGAGCTCCCTGGGGGCCAGGTGGTCCCGGAGGTCCAGGAGGGCCAGGGGGTCCCATAACACCAGCTCCACCAAGCACAGCCCTCTTGGCACTCATGGCCACTGCCGCTAGTTTCTCTACCCCAAAACACGCTTGTTTAGTTTATTTATGTCGGTCATTTGCGGCGAAAGTCATCTCAATGGCAAACGTGTAACTGGCCACCTTGCAACATCTTCAGCACAACTTCAATAATGTGCTGGTCAGATGCGTCCCGTCCCTGAAGAGAAGAAGATCCAAATGTGTGTCTTTATGTCGCAAACGCTTGCCTGCGTGCGTCGTAAGTGTTGGCATTTAGTGCCAAGAAAATTGAAGTGGACTCACCGGCGACCCCTGAATGCCCGGCATGCCAGGCACACCTCGCACTCCGTTCAGTCCTCTGGGACCAGGTAGTCCAGCAGGTCCCTGGTCACCCGGTTTCCCGGGGTTTCCCGTTGGACCGTTGTGTCCGGGGTCGCCCCTCACTCCTTGCTGCAAGAAGACCCCCAATGTTGAGTGAATTGGCGTCAGGTACGTGCAACGAGTGAAGTGACGCAAAAAAGAGCAACGATAGCACTCTTCAGTGTGATCTTTCATCATTCATATTCTAGAAATATTTCTGAAACAAAGCTGACCTGTCCTTTAGGTCCAGGTTCTCCAGACAAACCCTGCCAAAGCAAAAAGAAGCATTGATGTAAAAAAAAAAAAAAAGGTTCCACATGGCTTGGCGCCAATCGAAGAGCGAACGTAACAAGTTCACATCTTTTCAAAGTCCAATTTTTCCTTGTCACGAGTAGTTTTATTCTTCATTCTAACTTTGGGAGAGCCATTTCTGTTATTCTCAAGGCTACCTTGAGACATGACTGACCTTTAACATCAAATTCCTACAAGTGTTACTTCGGAATGTTTCCCCCTCTTTTCAGCTTGAAGCATTGTTCAACTGAGCTCTAATTGCTTCCTTACCTTTTCGCCTTTCTCGCCAGCTAATCCCTCAACACCTGGGTCACCCTTGAATGAAAAGAGCGTGAGGGCATGTTAGACCACAGCAAATATTTATACATGCTCATCTGCATATTGCTATACTTTCTGAGCACTAAGTCAGCATAACTGCTACTCACGATGTCTCCCTTTGCCCCGCCTTTCCCTTGGAATCCCTGAAATAAGATGTTTCAAGATTTGAATACATGTCTTCTTAAATGTAAGGATTGATTCAAGCAAATGATCAACGCAGATAAAGTGAAACCAGGTAGGAAGACGTGACCTTCTGGTGAAGAAAAGGATGATAAGGACAGATGTGAAGATGACAAATCGTGCTGCCTCATGTTCTCGTTTTTTTTACTCTGAGCCGTGACTTTACTCACGGATAAACACTGCCCCCTAAAGGACACATCTGTTATGTGACGCAGATGCTTCCCACCGCACCTTGTCTCCTGTGGTTCCACTCAGGCCCTGAGCACCTGGAACACCCATTGGCCCTCTCTCTCCTTTGCCTCCCTATCAATCATATATCACAGATGAACTGTTACTTGATTTAAAAAAAAAATACAATAAAATCAAAACTGAAGGCAAAGCAAACATGCAGCTTACAGACTTCCCGACGATTCCTTGAGGGCCCACTGGTCCGCGCTGACCTCTGTCTCCCTGGAGTTGCAGATAGAGGTGAGTATCTTGCATTGCCAATGCAATAAATTGAGATCGTTACCTTGGGACCAGGAACTCCTGCCATACCAGCTTCACCAGGAACGCCAGGCTCGCCCTAGCAACAAATCATTTTAGGTGTACAGCATAAGACCACCGTCGTAATGTATTCAAAGATGCTGTTTTGTCTCATGTGTTACCAGAGGTCCAGGAGCGCCAGGTAAGCCAGCAAGACCCCTGGGTCCAGGCTCTCCCTAACAAGAGACAGAGAAGGAGATGTTGGCCGCACAAAATGAACCGTGCGTGTAAAATGGCAATCTTACCTTAACTCCAGGGCCACCCTTGGCACCGGGACTACCGGGCAATCCCTATCGACACAAATGAGAAAATGCAACAATCGACATTCAATCGAAGGTTAACCCATGCCTTAGGTGTCCTGCCGCGCCGCGCTCTTGCAACACGCGGTTAATTCAAAACTATTTGACGGGTGTGACTATCATCACGTCAGTGAAATGAATTCCCCACGTCAACTCGTGGTTTAGCATAAAACCTTGGAGCGGGTTCCTCGCAGTGACTCTGCCGTGTATTCCGGTGCAGCTTATTATTGCGATATGCATCGCGGCATCACATCACGGTGTTTGCAGCAGTGTGACTGCAATGACCACACAGCAAAAGCTTGCATCCCATGCTCCATTACCCCTGAGTCAGAGCGGCACGCACGCAAACGTGACTAGCTACCGGTTTTATTGTGATAAATCACAATGTCACGGGAGGGGGGAAGGCTGTCTCGGGGGAGTTTAGATTCTGGAACAACTCAGGTCACAGGGTCACCGTTACCCTGGAGGAGAGCCCGGAAAAGAAAAAAGCAAAATATGAAAATATGCCAGCTGCCTCCTGCTGGCATCCCCTGCTTGTGTTCTGCCGTTGTTGATTTGGGAAGGAAACGTTGCCACCATTGCCTACGTGGCCTGCATGACAATGAACATTTGCGGACAATCTGGTTTTGGACGTGCCTTTCATGACTTTGCCGTTATGAATCACTCACCGCTGTTCCCTGAGGCCCAGGAGGACCTGGCATCCCAGCTTGGCCGGGTCCACCCTGCCAAAAGATGAAAGTGAGAATGAAAAAAAATTGTTCCCTGCACCATCGAGCTTCCTATCACGGCAACCGCGCGTAAGCCTTACTTTGATTCCCGGAATGCCCGGTGTGCCGTCTTTTCCATCGATGCCAGGCAGGCCCTGAAAATGACGAGGGTGGACTTCATTTAGCACAGTATGACATTGTTTCAACTGACTCAGGTGCAAAAACGCCAAAAAAACCCCAACTCACATTGTCTCCTTTCTTGCCAACTGCACCCTGTGGGCCCTGGATACCACGGCTGCCCTGCGGGAGGAAAGCAAATGAATGTTAATGTATTCAAATCAAACCTCAGGATCACACTTTTTTTTTTTAAACGACGACAATATTCACTGAACATCATGCGGAAGGTCACTCACTTTATCCCCCTTGTCTCCTGCCTCTCCGGGCGAACCCTGAGGACCCTCCTCACCCTGAAAGTCAAATGGGTTACCTAAATAGAGTGCATCATCTTTTTCGATGTCAACACAAACCTGTGCTTGTGTGGGTTCTTACCGGAGGTCCGGGTATCCCTACAGGTCCGTTGATGCCCTTGTAACCACGAGGTCCCTACGGAAAAGCACAAAAAGTGCTCTTAATCGCTTGAGATCATGGTCGCCTCCTCTTCATCATGATGAAGGGGCAATTAGTGCTGAGCTCAATCCACTAATGGGAGTCGCAAAGAAAATGAGGGGCCGTTTTGGCTTTGGCGCTAACTTGGCTAACACAGCGAATGTTAACGGTAAGACAGATTGCTACAGAGGATCATTAACTACATATGGAGACACGGCGGACCCAGATAACCCCGACTCATTAGAGGAGGCGAGGGATGTGCAGTGGCATCATTTCCATATGTCCCCATTGCTGGTAATGGATGATGTTTGTATAGCAAGTCCAACTGTACTACACCGACTTGGAACTCTTCAAAAAAAATGAGAACAGCCTTGCCTCGAAAGATAAAGTGGACAATAAAGTTGTGTCAACATGAGACAAGTTTTATTTCTCACCGCCTCTCCTTTTGGACCCATCATTCCTGGATAACCTCTCACACCCATTGGACCCTATATATGCACAAAAAATCAAAAGTAAGAACAAAGTTGACCGTCTACCCAGAACAAAGGCAGCCAGCCACTCCAACCGATCACTTCAGTCAGAATAAGCGAGTACGTGACACAAACTATGATTGTCATACCGAAGGTCCCGGAATGCCTTGCTCTCCAGAGAGGCCCACTTCTCCTTTGATTCCCTGGAGTAGGAGAGAAAAGATTGAATTGTTTTTCTTGAGTACGCATAGAAGAACAACAAACAGGCTCGAGCCTTATTGACGAAGAAAAAAAAAGTTGCTCTTTTCAAGCGTTAGCTGGCTGGCATGATTGAAAAGACACACAGCAGGCATTAGGAAGGTCCCCAAATCAACTCAATGCAGCTTTTGAAACTCGTCAAACGGTTCCCGGTTCCAATTTATAAACGCAACCTGCATGCTCTCGGGATGGGACACATGACTAGCTCTGAAAAGAGACTAACTTACTGTTTATGCTGAGGCGAGCTAGCTGAAACTTTATTGAAGCTATTTCTGTCATATAAATGGAGTCTATCCTACAATCGAGTCTGACCAACTCCTGACAAGCATCTTTTTGAAGACAGAGCAACATCACAGTATGTCCAGGAGTCTAAGACATTAGCTTGCACGATCGGGGAGGGAGCTCCATGAACAAGTTCATCATTTATTTGTCGCCAGCAGACTTCTCACAGACTAATTCCTGCTGTCTGACTTGCTTCTCCCCAAGATTCCGCAGTGTGCTCGTTAGATCTGCTTTAATTCAGCAAAGGTGAGGTGAGCAGACGAACCCTGACTAGCTCATCCTCCCGCTCGAGTATCTGGCTCCTCACCGCCCTTTAATCCCGCTCACCCTTACGCTAACTGCACGGCCAGGTCCGACTAGCAGGGCCAGGTTAGCGCCAGTCATGTGCCTCGGGGTGGCTTCATGCCAACTAATCCTTGCCTCTGCTGGTTCTGAATGTTGGAGGAGAATGTGAAACTGTGCAAGATGAACATGAGAGATTGTGTGGCCTACCTGTTTTCCAATACTGCCGGAGTCTCCGAGAACACCGGGTCGTCCTTTGTGACCCTACAGAGAAAGCGCAAAAGACATCCAATCAAGGGGGTAAATATGACAAATTAGATTTTTTGTTTTTTTTCCTGCAGTTAAAGTCTAATGCCATTGGAGCGAAGCAGTGCAGTGATTGAAGGTATCCAACAGATGAGGTTGCACCAACAGGACTTGAATGTTAGACCGACATGTTTGCAATGTTTTGGCCTTGGCACAGTCCTGAAACATGAAACAGCGAAGCGGGACACTCACTTTGACTCCCTGAAGTCCCTGCGGGCCCTTAGGTCCTGCTGGACAGTTCAGAGGACACTGTTGTGGAGAGAGGGACATTTGTCAATCCTACTCCGTCAAGACATCTTTGACAATATATTTTGAGCTTCTGGGTCTTACCTGGAAGTCGGCACTTCCTTCTTCTCCACCAATGAACTTCCCTGGTGGGCCCTAGATAGATAAGTCACAGACAGACAAATGGACTATTACCCCTTTTCCAGCAAAACAAACTCGGTGCCGGTTGGGCGCCAGGGCCAGCGCCGTTCTTACTTGGTGCTTAACAAGTTCTTACGAAAAACGCGTTTGCTTTTTCCACCGGCAAAGAGGCAAGTAGGAGCGCTTCTATTTTTCTTAATCATTGGAGATGATCACGAGGCTGGCGGCGACTCGGTGATCGCATGCGATCCGGGCACATCCGCCATCGCTTTCTGGTGGGAAACAATTGTGCCGGAGTTCACCGCTCAACGGTTTGTGCAAAACTTGCCTGCGTCCAGGCAGTAATTCATCTACATCTGCGATCGTCATGATAACCCCGCCCACCGTCCCCTTATCATTGTTGGTGTCGGAATCTAGCCCGACAAATAACTGGGTCCAGTTTAAGGACCGGTTTCAAGAACCGGAGTGAGAGCGAGTGGTGGAAAAAGAAAGAACTGGTGCTGGGCACTGGCCTGGAACTCGTACTAGCTACCCGGTTAGTTGTCAGAGTTGCTCATGCGAGCTGAGAACTATCTACCTCTTCTCCATCTTTCCTTTTCTCTGTTTATAGTTTGCGTTCGGAGGTAAAATATCTCCAATGAGGCCGATGTATTTTTGCTACAGTCAGGGGAGACAGCCCACAGATTTCATGGAAGGTGTATGTTTGGGGAATGGGGGTATTTACCCGAAGATAGCACGAAAGCTAAACAAATACACTCCCCTGAGCCGGAAACATCACTCATTGAAGACAACCCCTCCACTCCCCCGAACGCATACGGGAGAGTACATCTACCCGTAGAAAATACACTTGAAAGCCTTCAACTCCAAACTGTTGATATTTCAGTGCTTTCTCTGCAGGGACACATGCAAGATTCACGGCGTTGTGCCCGTATGGGGCATTTTTACACAGCAGTGAGTGTGCTAAACACATTTGCCTTTCCCAGAAGAAACCGTGCAAGTCACAGCCATGGCATGACCTCCACCGAGTTTCAACGTGTGGAGCTTTGACGGTACATTTGAATTGGACAAAAGATTCATCTTTTCCTTAATAAAGCTTTCTCTGAGAACTTTTTGAGTGTTGTGTCTGGACATTTTTGTACAAGTTCCAGCTTGGCCTTTGGCATTGCTTTTGTTAATGAGTGGTTTGCATCTGCTGGTGGATGCCTCTTAGTTCATGAAGTCTTGGATAAACAGTAGATTGTGATACTTGTATACTCCTACATTCTCGGGGGTTTTTGTGTGTGCGTCTTTGTTTCCAGCTCACACAAATTTGTTTCTGTCATTAACGGTTGCTATTTTACCCTTTTGACCTCTGTTACCCAGTACAACAGCGGTTTCTTCTTCAGGACATTCCAAACTTTGTGCAATGGCTCAGATGAATTTCCCATCTTGTCCCTCACCTGAACAAGTTTGGTAAACAAATCTCCAATGATGACGTCTTGGATAACTTACAATTTGGACCTCGACTTGGATTACACATTTTACAAAAATCCACTTTGCCGATTTAAAATAGTGAGAAGCACAAAACAAAGACTCAAGACTTACTGGCTTGCCTGATGGCCCAGGAAGCCCTGGAGGCCCAGGCGGTCCCATCAAACCCTATTAAGGAAAAAAAAGAAGGTGGAGGGGGGGGGGGGGGGGGGGAATCCCAAAGATGAGCTTGGTGTTTGTTCACTTTAAAAAGTGTGACAATGTTTTGTGCTCATTATGCTGACCTTTGGTCCGGTTGGTCCGATTTCACCAGGAAGCCCAATTGGCCCCGGAGCCCCCTGAATAATTCATTGACACAATCAAATCTTTTCAGCCCACAAAAAAACAAAACAAAAACAACAACTATATCCACAGGTATAAAAAGATGCCAAAAGTCAATCTAGTAAACAAGAAACGTACTGCGAGTCCTGGGAGGCCCGGTCCCTGTGTGTGAATAAGAAGCACAAGTGGTCAAAGAGTTTTCCGACAAGTGACATCAAATTTCTACCGCTCCTATTTTATCGATTCTCTACATACCCTAATAACTTTCAAAGGAAGGAAGGCCGCTGTCGTCTAATAAATCAGTAATGACTGCTGAGTTCCGGCATGAAGGATAAACCTTCGGTCGGTTTACATTTGCTGTTTATTTCGCGTTGTAATTAATTATAGACGATGCAATTAAGTATGTGAGCCTTCTTGCGGGAAGGACAGCCCGTGGCACAACATTTTGTGTCTCTCTGCCTTGCACCACTCACTCCCCAGCCCTTCTTTGTTCGACCATGACATTGAATGACTCCGGAACTGAGGTTTGGGCTGTGCTAATAAGTGTCAGCTCGATGGAGACGCAGCCCCCCCTACAGGTTATAAACCGTGTTACAGTTCAACCAGAGGAAACGCTGGAATTGAAGTTCTAATCCATCTCGAGCAAGGGTCTCATACTCAATTTATGTGCAGGCTGGGAGAGTCTGGGTCACATCAGGTAATCCACAAAAAAGGTTTCAAGTATTGAAAAAAAAAAAGTACAACTCATCCAATCTTCTATTCATAACAGTTCAGAGCATGAACGGCTCTTCAGTACATAAACACGATTGTGATCTCGGCATGCCTCTCTGCTCCCCAAAAAAAAGAAATGAAATTCAGTCTGCAGCTTCTCTTGAAATTGTCTTTGATTCCAACCTCTCTCTTCACGGTTGGCCTATTTATCATTTGAAGATTACCCGGACCATATTTGTTGTTTGTCGGGTACAACTGCTTCGTCATTAGCAATGCCCGCATAATCAACGTATACTTACAGGTCTGCCAGGCTCACCACTTAACCCAGGCTGACCCTGTAGATGAGAAGGCAATGATAAGAAGTAACACAATTAAAAGTGCACCAAACGGACTGTATCATTCAAATCTGATGTGATCGTATGAAATGCAACGCCGCAGCCGAGGCGCATTCGTAATGTAATCCTGCTGAAAATTAAGAGCAGCAATGACCATTTTCCAATTTCCGTGCCGTCGTGAATTACTTACGTCCAACGCCGCACCCGGTATTTCACTTCACTGCCTATTTATACTTCCACTCCATTACATTTCGGATGCTTTTTTTTATGTTTCACAATGTACTTCAACTGATTAATGTGTCAGCTATTCGGGTTACTTTGAAGATTGGTGTTATATATGGATATGAGCTGCTATAAATCCGATCGCCCAGCAGCAGCCAAAGTTTGAAACGCCTTAACGAGCATCATTAAATGTAGCGCCAGTAAATCAGAATCAGCAGTTCTCATCAAATACTCCAACGGGGACACCTTTTCTAGAGTCACGAGTGAATTTCAAAGTTATGAAATATTTAAAGGAAGTTTTTTTTATATATATTTTTTCATCCATCCAACAGCAGTGAATGGCAAAACTTGCCTTTGGGCCAGGGCTTCCCACGGCACCTCGATCGCCCTTTGCGCCAATCAAACCCTGCCGATGGAGAGAAAAAGATGAAGAAAATGCGCACGTAGGTCAGCCACTCGGTTTGCTACATGAGGCGTGAATTCACATTGAAATCATCAGATATTTGATTCAACTTGACATGAGTCCAGGAGGTAATTAGGAAACAAACAGGAGATTTGAGATTCCAAAGAGGATTAGGGGCAAACGCTCAAAAGACTTCGCGTATGTGTGCGAACGCACTTCATTTAGCAAGTGAGCATGCGACACATGCAGATAAACAAGGCGCTTCCACCAACTCCACTCAAACCTAGATACTTCCACTCCATTACATTTCGGATGCTTTTTTTTTATGTTTCACAATGTACTTCAACTGATTAATGTGTCAGCTATTCGGGTTACTTTGCAGATTGGTGTTATATATGGATATGAGCTGCTATAAATCCGATCGCCCAGCAGCAGCCAAAGTTTGAAACGCCTTAACGAGCATCATTAAATGTAGCGCCAGTAAATCAGAATCAGCAGTTCTCATCAAATACTCCAACGGGGACACCTTTTCTAGAGTCACGAGTGAATTTCAAAGTTATGAAAGATTTAAAGGAAGTTTTTTTTATATATATATTTTCATCCATCCAACAGCAGTGAATGGCAAAACTTGCCTTTGGGCCAGGGCTTCCCACGGCACCTCGATCGCCCTTTGCGCCAATCAAACCCTGCCGATGGAGAGAAAAAGATGAAGAAAATGCGCACGTAGGTCAGCCACTCGCTTTGCTACATGAGGCGTGAATTCACATTGAAATCATCAGACATTTGATTCAACTTGACACGAGTCCAGGAGGTAATTAGGAAAGAAGCAGGAGATTTGAGATTCCAAAGAGGATTAGGAGCAAACGCTCAAAAGACCTCGCGTATGTGTGCGAACGCACTTCAGTTAGCAAGTGAGCATGCGACACATGCAGATAAACAAGGCGCTTCCACCAACTCCACTCAAACCTAGTTGCAATTGAATCATGCAGACTCGCCATTCACCGTTAAATTCGATATACCTTTAAAAAGATAAACACAACATTTGCATTCATATATCCATTCAAACGTTACTCGAGACACGAGACGTCATAAGTGCAACCCGTTGGCCTCATCATGTGACTCCCCACCAAAAGTCCGAAAGGCTCGAAATTGAAACGGTCCACTTTCCCATGTTCTCACATCAATGCCGTTCTCTCCCGGAGCACCATCAGGACCTGGCTCTCCTGGCTCTCCCTTTTGTCCCTAAAAAATCAAAACAAAAGAAAAACACAGGCGGCAACTTAAAATAAATGGAAGTCATAATTCTACATGTATTCATCATGTAAAAAGGAGAGTGCTTACTGGTGGACCAGGGGGACCAGGTGGACCTTTGTCTCCCTTGAAAAAGACGAGTATTGATCATTAAGGAATGCAAAGGTGATGAACAATTAAAGGAGACATATACATATAGACGTATATGTGTGTGTATATATGGATATAAGTTTCATTTAAGTTTAACCATAAGCTTAAGAATTTCATATCTGTTTCAAGAAGACATTGAACATTGACTCAACCCCAAAGCATATAAATTGGAACGTTCAAGATGGATTTTTTTTTTTTTTTGCCAGTCTGCAGCTATTGCTTTCCTAACCTGAAATATCCCAAAATGTATCACATGACTGTGACACAACCCCAGACTCCTTCCCTCAGGTCTGCCAGGGGGCCCTTCTCAAAGACGCCTCTCTGCTTGGGAACAGAGCTCCTTTATAGCTCGGAATGTTTGCATTCGCAGAGCCCCCTACCGGTTAAATTAGAGGACTGCACTCATGTACTGGGTTGGTATTTCCCCAGCACAATGATGCTCTTTGTAGCAAAGCTGGTGGGCAAACCGGGGGAGATACTCACATCAATGCCGTCCGACCCAGGAGTGCCAGAAGGTCCTGGTGGGCCTGCCTGGCCCTGAGGACCAGGTGGACCCCTCTGAAGGTGAATAAAAGGAGAACAAATGGATTAGATACATCTGCATGAATCTTTTTTTTTTTCCTATAAGGAACCATACATATATGAAGAGCATTTACTCCATTTTGACCAACCCGATTAATTTCTTGGACAAGAAAAAAAAAAAATTCTATTCATGGAATTTTTTAAAATATAAATTATGCCTTTAAAAAGGAGAGCCGAAATGGAAAAGTACCACAATAAAAAAATGTTCTGTTGTATATTTAGATGACATTTTCCACAAGTAAAGAAATGCGCATTTTACAATCTCATTTTGGTAATGCGTTTTACAGTATAAATTGCAATTAAATGATCCTATAATGAAATGTTCAAAATAATAATGGTGATACAATGTGTATGATAAACACACACAGAATACATTCTGTGAAGGTTTCGTGCCGTTGGCAGTAATTCCTTTCATATATAAAACACAATAGAAGATGAAATATTAATAATAATGCCGGGGTACAAAGCGATTAGATACATCTGCATGAATCCATTTTCTTTTTCTAAAAGGAACCATACATATATTAAGATCATTTTCTCCATTTTGACCAACCCAATTAATTTCTTGGACGACAAAAAAAAAAAAAAAAACAAAACATTCTACTCATGGAATTTTTGAAAATATAAATTATGCCTTTAAAAAGGAGAGCCGGAATGGAAAAGTAGCACAATAAGAAAATGTTCTGTTGTATATTTAGATGACATTTTCCACAAGTAAAGAAATGCGCATTTTACAATCTCATTTTGGTAATGCGTTTTACAGTATAAATTGCAATTAAATGATCCTATAATGAAATGTTCAAAATAATAATGGTGATACAATGTGTATGATAAACACACACAGAATACATTCTGTGAAGGTTTCGTGCCGTTGGCAGTAATTCCTTTCATATATAAAACACAATAGAAGATGAAATATTAATAATAATGCCGGGGTACAAAGCACCGAAAGTGTAATGTGGGAGGAGGGGTCACTCAGACGGCACACCGAACCCACAACATTTGTCTTCATATATGTGGGCATGCTTTCCAGGTGAGACTTTCTTTTAATCCGAAATTCCAATACTGAAGGGATTCAAAATGAAAAATGGACAAAAACATTTCCAGATTCCTCCACTGTAAAAAAAAACCAAAAAAAAAACATCCAACAGAGATGGCATGTGGGTGTCATTTTAAACACCTTGCAGTCAAAGTTTGTTTTGTTTCTCTGTGCCACTGCCCAGAGATTCCCATCCTCCACTGCCACAGGATTTTCATTTGAGGGGAAAAAAGGAAAGAAAAAAAAAGGTGGGGATTGCATTTTGTTTCTTGATTTGAAAAATGAACATCTTGTCGAAAAACATCAGCAGGAAGCCATCACGGTCTCCATTTCAAGCCCGAGACAAGAAGAGAGTTCAAAAGCGGCAATAATCCCAACAAAAATGAAGGCCCCCGTGTCCTTTGTAGAAAAGTAGAAAATCCATTTCATGCTCATCTCTTTCTTTTCACCTGGAGTCAGGTGACTACCCCGCCACATCACATACGATAGCGGCATTTGGACTTCAAGTACCTCTCCCACTAACCTAAGAAAATCCCACCACCAAATGGCACCCGGCTCAGCATAAAGAAGTTGCTTGGAGCAGGTGTCCCCCCCCTGTCCACTTACCACTTGGGCCAGAACCAGGCACAGTGTCTGCAGTATTACCCAGGACTTCAGCATGACCGAGAGAGAAGCCATGGTCCTTCTCCCCTGTCGGTCTCTCTCCTCGGTTCAACAAATCCTCTCTTCTTGCTCTCCTATTCCTTTCCAGGCCAACGCAGTGAGGGAGTGATGGGGTAAAAACGAACTCCGAGAAAGTGTGGGGGTGGGGTGGCGGGTATGTGCACACTCAAGAAAAAAAAAATCCAACTCAGGAGGATAGGGTACAAAGGGGTGGATGAGGGGGGGGGGAGTGAGTGAGAAGGAGGCAGGGGTGTAATGATGACATCCTAGAAGGAAGCAAGGAAACGCATATTGCATCTTCTGCCGTGATTGGTTATTTGATGGAAAGTATACACATTTTTCTCAAAGCAACGCAAGCTCCTCCCAAATCCTGAGGAGCTGGATGACTGAAAACGGAACTCGAGGTGAAATTCAGGCTTTCAATGTTTAGATTTCAATGCTAAATGAAATGATTGTTTTCGTATTTCTATAAAGCAAACACACTGACACCAAGTGGTCATTTCTCCAATTACAGTTAGTCCTGAGCGCAAACAAGTTGCAATGTCAAAATGACCTGATAGTGACCCCTAAAGTTGTTCGACAAAATAACATGAAGTTCTCTCGAGATCCACTAGATGGCAGCAAATCCAACATATTTCAGCCTGAGCCTCAACAGGAGACTGAGGAAACATTGCGCTCTTAAAACGCACATCACTTGATCGCCTTCATCATTAAACAGCCAACTTGAAAAGTTTTAAAGGTGCTTTGTGCTGTTTGGAGAGGGACCTCTGTTATAGAAAACACAATTGTTGCCCTCTCCTCAGTCAGAAAAGTAGCTAGTGGCTGTCCTAAAAGTCCATTTTTGTCATATTGTATGTTTTATAGGCCTGCATGGTATATCGAATATGGTAGTTTGACTGGGCCCACAAACAAGCGTTGGTGACAATTTACTTGACCTCTAGTAAGCAATGACTTTTTCGAAAAGTGACAGAATAGTTAAGCCACAAAAGTCACAACGACACACTATTTTCTGACAGATAGGGCAATTTCCATTTTTGGGAAGCTGGAAATAGATCGTAAATTCACTTCGGTCAAAATGTGTGTTTGTTGTCTGCTTGCCTAGTTTGTTATCAAACTTCTGTGGGAGCGGGTCATCTTTTTTGGGGACAGACGAACACATCTGTCTTCAGGGCGGTGACATTGCAATGTCCGTTTCTTGAGTTGCTTTAAAACTATTCAGAGAGGTTATCTCTCAGTTCAATGACAGTTTGGATCTCATGATCTAAAAGCAAATCAACTTATTTTTTTGGAGAATTATGACAGTTTCTTGAGTTGTGCTTTCACATAACATACAGTGCTGTCAACTTTGGTCCAGAAGGAATGTTTTTGTTTTCTTTAACCAAACATTTATTAAAATGATTTTGAACTGCCTGGCATTATTTGTATGACAGTTGTGCGCTGTCATCTTACTTTTTTTTGATGGGGGGGGGGGGGGCACCATATCGATGTCTTCAATAAATGTTATGTGATAGAGGTGGAATTAATTTGGGGAATGGTAAAGATTGGCAGGATTCGGGACCCAATTGCAAGGAAGCATTCAAAAAAAAAAAATGCGAAAGAGCAAAAAGGCAAAAAGGTACCGATAGTGATGGGCAAAATGACGTGAAGCTTCAATGGTTTGTGTCAAGTAAAAGTGGGCATGGGAAATAAAGTCTCATTTCGGGGAGCGTGTCAGATACGTCATTGTCACATGACCAGGGGAAAATGACGTCTCGTTTCGGGCGGTCCGTGTCCAGCGGAAAAGGTCACGTGAACAGGTAAAAGGAGCCTCGCATTCGCTGATGACGTAACACAAGGTGAAAAAGGTTCTGATTTCACCGCATCCAAAAGTGTGCCTTTCACGTTCTTCTTTGTTGCTTGCCAGTGCTTAGAAAACAGTATTTATCTACCAATTGTTGACACTGGTGATGGGCAGATGATAGCTCAAGGAGTGTATTGCCACAAACTGTGTTGACAATATGTTGGTCGCTCAATAGTGACCTCTGCTGTACATATGAAATCATTACAGGTAAACAAAATGTAAAAAAGGAAAAAAAAACTTGCATGGCGTGAAGCCCAAAATAGCCCGTACAATGATATTTTAGCTTCATCCGATTGCTAGTTCTTTACTTAAAATATTACGTCAGCTTTTTATGAATTCACCCACGGCACATGCAGGAAAAAAAAAACAAAAAACAAAACAGCTCAATGGTATTCTAGAGTGCAGATGAAAGGTGTCAGAAATAACGGCAAAGTGAGAAAGAGGCGACCGTCAACAAATCTGCAGCGTTTGAGCCCGGCCCCGCAGACCTGAAGTCAGCCCCCCAAAAGTAAAAAGCCGGTCGACAGTCCGTCAAGAGGCACATATTGACAGGCTGATGAGATACACGTGGAGGATATTCATCTGTCTGGTATGAAATATTCATTTGGGTTTTTTTTTATGCTTAGAATTCTGGCATGAAGATCAATTTAACCATTGAGGGTTTTGGCTTACACTATTGACATGCAAAATCAATCGGGATTGAACGGATGGAAACACATGATTAGGTTGTCAGCCATGATGCCTGAAGCAGTCGAAGTGCACTTGGGTTGTTGATCACATCTGTTGATACTTTCATTAACGCCCCGTTTTCATGCTGGTCTTTTATACTGGTGGGCGGGGTTATTATTATTATTTTTTTTATATAGTCTGCAATTCAAAAGAAACACAGCAGCAAAATATGACAAGGTGACCCGCTAATCAGACATTATACATCCAAACACAACGGAAATGGAGTTGGACATAACACAAGACAATATAACAACAGTAAACAGATATTGCATGTACCTCACACTTTCCCAGAATCCCTCTTACTTCTTTAAAAAGATCAAACGCTGATTTCATCTGGAGTGAGCGGAAAGAAAAAAAAGAAACAACACTTCAGAGGTTGTCTGGTTTAAAGCTGTGGCTTTAAAATCCTTCAACAACTCCCAGTGTGAGATTCATCAGGCAAAAAAACATTTTCTACTTATTCCACATCATAGAAGTCTTGTTTATTGGTCTTTGGAAACAGACATCACAGTGTTGACTTGCAGTTACAGGTGAGGCGCCATATCAAGGCGTCCGTTGTTATCAAAATCGGCGAAAGGAAAATGAATGACGTGAAATGGCGACTTTGAAATGTGAACGTTGTCGGGGTAAAATCGTCAACGGGATACATTGAAACGAGGTCGGATAGCTTTGATGCATTTTCAAAGTCAGCGTGAACCAAAACTTTGATTGTGACAAACCATGACATCCTGAGATATTGTACACTAAATGTTGATTGTACTTAGAAATGGTCAACGTCCGGGGCAAGTCTTGAAATTGGAGAGCTTTTCCCTTTCATCCATCATGTGTGTGACATACAGTATGGCTATCGTCACTTAGCGTTGCCCTTTTGCTCTTGTGTGTTACTCCCTCCAGTAATAGATTGCACCTGGACTTGAACTCAATGTTTGCCGCCTGCGTCTTTTCAGTCGTCTCTTGAAACTCCAATACAACATTTTTGGGGGGGATACTATAATGCGTGCCCTAGATTTTAGACAGACTTGCCTTCCATTTATGATTAGCCCCACCTACACCCCCAACCGTCAGACTATTTTTTTGAGACTAATCACTCCAGTACCGAACCTTGACTTTGAGTTTATGATTTTGATTTGATTTTATTTCCCCCGGGACAAAGATTGATACATTTTGGTCCGGCTCTACGTCCTTCTGACAGCCGTATCTGGATAGGACTGTATTATTTTTAGTGTCTCTATTTTTTTTTGGAAAACATTTTTTTTTTTTTTTTTGCTTATCTGTCAAAAACTATTTGGCAAATGCAATAATAACTGCCTACGTAAATGATAGTAGAACGCGTCAGTCCTGCCAAGGACACTCAGTTTGGCTTAAGGGAGAAAGCAGACAAAAGCTTTACTCATCTGGGTTGGCTCGAACTCCTCTCGAGCGTTACGATGCCGATTATAAAGTCATAACAATCAGCACTCTCCATTAGTTTTGCAGAACTTTTGACAAATAACGGTCCCAGACGGAAACCATCAGGGTTGGAATATGCACTATTCACACCCAGCTCGTAAAAGACATATAATCCGCCTTTAGAGGTTTTTTTTTTTTTTTTTTGTTGAGGCACATCAGAGCTCATGCTGATGCACTATTCACCCCCCGCTTGTAAAAGACATATAATCCCCCTTTAGAGGTTTTTTTTTTTTTTTTTTTGTTGAGGCACATCAGAGCTCATGCTGACTCATAATTTTGAAGACGATTCAAACCGTACTTCGCAACACATGAACTCATTCAAGTGACATGCTGTTCACAAATTGAGCAATACGAAAACATCAAGCAAAAGCGCGGTCTGGTCATTAGCCATCTGTGGTCAGTGGCGCTTTGGGTGAGCCAGGGTGTCAGTATGGCATGCGGCAACGTCACTGCTTCCCGTTTCTCGCCTCATTCCCTTCTGGCTACTTTCGGGAGGATTTTCACTCAATCCCCAAGGCTGATCTTGCACGACAACGCTTTCACACCTCAACGTTTTGGTGTCGCTCCAAAACAGTGCCTTTGTCCACGTCGCTTTTGTCCTTCTCGCATTCCCCCGAACTCTTTCACTCACCTCGCCAGCTTGTCTCGAGGTGACTTTTCTCTGACCGTCGTTCCCCTTCGGTGACTGCTGTCCGGCTTCATCATCCATCTTTTCATCTTCCAATTTTCATTCCGCCCTTTTTCTCCTCGGTATCCTTCAGAGGTCATACGCTCAGCATTTGTCAGTGACACTTTGGACACACCTTTTCCTCGCACGCGGCCGGGTGGATTGAAAACCTCGCTGCTCGTGATGCACACCGCTGGCAGCATGACACGTGATGACCTAAAACGGTGCACAACACAGGTGGCTTACTGCATCAGCGACAACGTTGCTGTGAATTTACCTTCGGCAGATTTAATATGGTCGTTTGCATGACCGTTTATGGACATTTTTAGTTTGAAGCGTGACAGTGACGTGCTGCTTTTGTATGAGCGATCAAAGATGTTCTCGCTCTCTCTCGCTCTATGCCGCGTCCAATTTCCCTCACATACGGTCGCTGCTTTGAAGTTCCGCATGATGACTTTTGTTCTTCCACATTGCACAGTTTCATTGGCTTTGGCTTGGATGGAATCTGATTCCGCTTTGTCTTGCTTCGCCGACAGCATTTGTATCGGACTAGAGCGGCGTGGATGATCACCCGCCGTCTTCATCCAGAATAGCTTTCTTCTCTGAACTGATGCTTGACGACTGAACCAGCAGCTGCTCTTTAGTCAGTGTGGTCTCCACTTGCGCCACGGTTCCCACATTCAGTACACTTCGTGCAGAACCTCTCTCCTGAGGTCTGCTCGTCAAATAGCATTCCATTCCACCTCCATGTCCGTGGCGCTTGGCCATGAATATCTTGTTCTCGTTTGAGAGCTTTCCGTCAGCTCTTCTGGTACTACATCGGACACTGCCCAACAATGTCCGAAGGTTGAACGTAGCGCTCTTATAGATTATCGATCCCAAGAGACAGGAAAGACCCAAGACAAACCATAGGGATCCTTTTAAAACCCAGCGGTTAAATAATGAGCGCAGGACCAAAGACAAACCATAGCCGGGCACAAAGGCATCCTTTTAAAACCCAGCGGTTAAATAATGAGCGCAGCTGGTGAAGTGAATCGGGGACAAATGCCACCAATCGGAGAGGAGCAGTCAAAGATTCTCAACAAACCACAAGCACACAGAGGAACCAAAAAAAAAAAAAAAACCCCCAAAAAACAAATGGCACCGCATAAAACACGATGGGCTGTAACATAAGCTCCAATGAATAGACGGTGAGAGATGAGCACCGATCAGCGCCAGCGGTCACAGCTTCAGGACGAGAGTGCATGTATGGACGCGGGCAAAACATACACACCTCCTGTGGGGAATTGTTGCAAAGCGGGAAACTGCACCCAGGTGTTGATGACGAGAAAATGAACAACGCTCGCGGGAGTGTGAGGGATCAGGGGTCATGCTTTGTATGTTCCCACATGAAAGCCAGTTAAGTACCGGCAGGCGGAGCCATAAGCGGCGGTCACCTTTAAATCTAATGATGCAGACAGATTTTCCGGACATGGGATGATGGTGCTCGGTGTTTTTGAGTCCCTACGAAAAGAAAATCTGAAGAGTAACCCGCAGTTTTTCCCGCTCTCTCCCGTCTGCCTTCGAGGACGGTTTACAGTGTGACGTGAAATGTTGGCTCCGGCTGCGTGAAGCTGTACCGCACGGCGGATATTCCCGACCACTTGACTAGAATAGCAGATGGGTCCACTGTGAACATTTGCAACATTTGTTTCTGACTAAGTCAAATAACTGACTTTCATTTATTTTTATCTCACTGGGAGACTGGATTTATGGTGCTTGTTCACCGTATGGGCCCGAACCAGAAGTTTTTCCACTACCCCATTAGACAAGTGAGTGAGTAACAACACTTTAATTGCGCTTTCATCCACTGGCAGAATTGGAATGCATGAGAAAATCCAGATGATGTCCAGTGGGATGGACTGTGGTCATCCCTGACCATGTTCAGGATTTACAGTCTTATCTTTTAATTCGCTCTCCTTAGAACAGCCTACCAAAATGAACTACGAATTTCAGACAATGCATTTTTTTGTCATTTCTCAATCCTTTTCAATGGAGCATAGTCACACCAAAGTTCAATCTGCACAAAGGCAGGCCTGAGCCCGGATTCGTACCCGCATCCTCATCCTGTAAGCCACCATTGGAGTTTCTATTCATCTCAATCGAACATTTTTTAGCATCCCTGTGGATACAAGGGAATTATGCAGAGTCCTGTTTATCTTCTATATTATTCCATGCATGCTTAAAAAGCTCACATGTGGTTATGTTTCAAACATGAAAGCATGAATGCACATGAATCATCTAGGTGGGGGTTGTTGTTTTTTTTTTATCCTCCCCTCAGTCATCTTGTGATGGTCATATTCAAATTGCCAGATTCATGCAGTTTTGTGAAAATACTTCAGGTCACATTTGATTATTTGATGACTACACCTGGCAAGGATATTGCTTACATTAGTAGGCTTTCTTGGGGCGATATCAAGTGTTGCAGGACGTGACTGCAATAAATTATTGGAGTCATTTTAGGTTTGATGAGTTTCTACAAAGAGATATTTTAGATGCTCACATATCTCTATTCACTGCTGGCTTGATGAGAGTTCGACGAACTGGCTGTGCCTCGACACCCACATTAGCTGATGATCCGACTTCAAACCGGGTCTCAAAGTGGCTGCATCGTGAAGCATTCACACCACAAGGGCAGCGTGGAATGTTCATCGCCCGTGAGAGTTCTGGGACGGCAGCGGAGGCATGGCTGAAAAAGTATGGAAACCGACATGCGGTACTCCCGTCATGTTATGTGCAAACTGCCATTTGAGAGAGCAAAGCAAGTGTTTGTTTCATCTTCTTCGGGAACGTTCATGACAGGATGCAAAAAACACGATGTGGTGACGGGCAACTCTCTCAACCATCTTGTGTTGATTCCTCTGTTGATTGTCGTAATGTCTTGAATGCACTGACCGAATAGAACATACTTTCAAATGCAATTTGGAGAGTAAAAAACTGATCACTTAGGCCGTGAAAGGAGTGCACACTTACTCTCTCTGCAGGAAACGTACTTCACTTTCTCAAGCCACTGATACAACTTTAGTGTAAGAGTGGAGAAAACAAGAGAGTGGGAGGGTGCAAACGGTTCAGAAAGTTCTGACTGGAGCTCTGCTGCAGGAGTGTGTGTTCCTTTTACCACTTGTGTTCGTAGCGAGAGAGGGTGTAAGTACCAGAGGACGGGTCACTGAGTGAGTATGTGTGTGTTTCTGAACATGTGTTTAGCGGGAAAAAGAACCACTCCTCTTAAGACTTTAAGAGCCGACTGCCAGGATTCTTAACTTGATCTCTGCTCTTTTTTACACCAACGCATGGACAAAAGACACTTCTATTGTTTGTTCGGGATGGATTGAATCATCATCGGCGGTCGTAAAACTGTGCTAGATCTGTGTTTGTCCCCACCACAAGGAAAAGTAGGGGCAGGAAATAAGCAGGGAAGGATACCATCTGGATGGAAGAGCAACCAGAGGAGAAGAGAAGAGCAGAAGAGACACAAGAAATCGAGCCGAAGGGCATTTTAAATAAAGAAGCAGAACCATGTCTGACACGTGTGCTCTCTGAAGAGGACCCTCCGCTTTCCCTCTCCTCTGACCCGAGATGGGACGCATGCTGGGCTTGACGCTGGCCTACCTGGCCCACCTGGCGGCTTGCACGTTGGGTTCGGAGCGGCAGCAGCACCAGGTGCAGCACGGCCCTTGCAGCTACACTTTCATCCTTCCTGAGATGGAACATTGCCAGCGCCAGAAAAACTTGGAGGTCTCGAACACCCTCCAGGGGGACTCCCCAGCTCAGGTCAAATCGGCCGCGAGTCAAACCACCCTCGGCAGGACCCAGAAGAACAGGTCCTCTCGGCAGGAAATTAAGCTGGAGAGTCTGGAAAGTGCGACTGAGAATAATACCCTGTGGCTGCAGAAGGTACGGTCTCTTGCCGAACTCCTAAATGGATGTTGCATATTTGTACTTAACTCAAAGGGATCATAGTTTAATCTGCAGTTAATTTATAATGGATGTGTTTGCATCCAACTAAGTCCGGGTGGAGTTCAAGTATCTTGGGGTCTTGTTCAAGGGTGAGGCTAGAATGGAGCATGAGATGGACAGGCGGATCTGTATCGGTCTGTCGTGGTGAGGAAAGAGCTGAGACAAAAGGCGAAGCTCTCAATTTACCGCTCAATCTACGTTCCTACTCTCACATACGGTCATGAGCTGTGGGTCGCGATCGAAAGAACGAGATCTCAGATATAAGTGGCCCAAATGAGTTTCCTCCGCAGGGTGTCCGGGCTCTCTCTTCGAGATAGGGTGAGATGCTCGGTCACCCGGGAGGGACTCAGACTCGAGCCGCTACTACTCCACTTTGAGAGGAGCCAGATGAGGTGGCGCGGGCATCTGATTCAGATGCCTCCCTGGAGAGGCGTTTCGGGCATGTCCCATCAGCAGGAGGCCCCGGGGACGCCCAAGGACACGCCAGAGAGAGAGTCTCCCGGCTGGCCTGGGACCGCCTCGGGATGTGGGAATTGTGGGCTTCCCTGCTAAAGCCATTGCCTCCGTGAACCGATCCCGGATGAGCGGCAGAAAACGGTACGGTATGGGAAGTACTGGTTCAGATGCTGTCCATGCAAAGACCAATGCCGATGTAATGCGGATTATTCCGTTTTAAATGTTCAAATGAGACTGGAATACGTATCGGATCATGGCAGTCTGTCGCTTCAGAAGCAATTATTTTTGCAATCGCCATTCTCGATCATACTTGTTTCCTTGCACTTTTGGCGAGTGACATATGTTTTGAGCCTTGGCAGTGGTCTGCGCCCTCTCAGAGACCTTGTTTTCACATGCTCGGTTTTAACTTTGGGCTCCATGTTGGAAGAAGCACAGGAAATTGAAAGATGACACCATCTCTTGACAAGCTTTAACTATTGATGAATTCCAGGCCTAACATGGATTTCCTTGATGCTTGCTGCATGTACATTATATTTGGCACAGGGTCCATGTGTGGACTACGCCTGTGTTCTTCTCCATACTATGCGGATGCCAGAACTCCCTGGCGCAGTCAAGAAAAAAAACAAGTTTGCTGAGATGAGATGTGACGAAATATGGATCATGCGGTCAAACCTTCAGGATTTAACCACCGCCGGCAAAATAAGATCAACGCTAATCTCGACTCTTGTTTTAACGAGCCTTTCGTCCAAGCTGATTGTTCTTAACTCGCTTCTCATGGAGGTGTGCTTAGTAAAATGAGTGCTTATCAAGGGGCGTGTCGAGTTAAGCACATCCTCTCGCTGGCTGTTTGGAGAGTGCATTTTCCACTAAGCCTGGCGGATGACTCAAATGAATTGATGCGATTAAAAGTTGCTGCACAATAGTGTTTACATTGCTCAAGTCAACAAGGCACACAATCAGCATCGGTCTATTGTGCCGGATCGTCGCCAGTCCTCCTCTCCACCCGTCTCTCGATTCTTGTCTGCATCGCTCTCAATATTGATCGTATGCATTCATTCAGCCCTTAGCCAGTCTTCAGTTTGAACCAAAGTAAAGGCAACCATATTTCTGAATTTTAAAATGGAATATGATCAACATCAAAGCAAAACATTCTCACCATTTTTTTTTTCCGCCCGCCCTCTCTGCCCATCTCCATAAATTCTCACAGGATCGTCGCATACTTCGGAGATGATACGCGTGTCTCATCTCGCACCTTGACTTGTCAACCATCAGATCTCCTCTACTCTTTTTTCCTCTCGTGCTTGCTCGCCCAATATATACATGAAAACAGACACACGTGTACGAGAACGCACACGCACTTCTCACAATTCCCTTGTGCCCCGTCTGTCTGAAGCTCAAGTCTGCGAACTGAGGACGGCGCTTCCACGGCGAGCGTCCCCCTTGAGACAGTGCGGTATGCATGAGTCTGAGCGACTGAAAAAGGCGCGGATAGAAAGAAAGCGACTGTTCTCGCTGTGCTTTTGGAGAAAATGGCTAAGAGGTAGAATACAAAAGCACCACAGAACACATTGCGATAGTCTAGCGCTGTACAGGTACATTGCATATTCTTATATTGGGGGACGGGTTAAAAAAAAATAAAAAATCCTCCAGATCATCACTTCTGTGTGTCTGGAACAAATGTGTGGATTATCACTCATGGATCTCCTGAGGTCGTCTAACCCTTACGGTGCACCATCCGACCAAACCTGCTGAAAGCCCAAAACCGTGGAGCACTTCGACAGATCAACAACGTTGAACAACTGCAAGAGGCCGACAACAATTTTCCAAATTCCTTCTGCGGTGTTTTCGAAGAAGAAACTCAAGTTTGTTTTCCTTTGTCCAGGCCCCCAACGCGACCTCCCGCCTGTTCCCCTTTTGCGCGTTCTCCCTGCTGCTGAAGGGAGGATGGGGGGGGGGGGGTTACTTGGCGGAGATGTGAGCATGCTTTTGTTTTTCTATTTATAGCCTGATTAATGCAGAAATCCTATCAAGAGATGCGGGACGCCATGTGACACGCAGCGGTTTGATGTCCTAATGAAATACTTTCAGCCCCGCTTTGCCGCTGCACCTTGTTTCTCCACATGTACTTGATCCCAAAACGTTTAAAACGAATGCCATGAACACACACACACACACACACACACACACACACACGCACACACACACACACACACAAAACAGCATTTATATTGAACGAGCCATCAATTATGACCTAAACATCCCCTAATAACCGCCACTGCGTTCCTCCACCTCTGTCATTATGTGAACAAACGAGTGTGATGCTTTGACAAGTAACGCACGGCGTCATCTGCTTCCCCTTCATCTCTGCTTCAATTATGCTTGGTCCCAAATGTGATTTTTTTTTTTTTTTTTTCCGGGTTCACCGTGTTACGAAGCAGCAATTAGTGCAACGAGCAGCGGCGATGGATGGGGGTGTAGCCTACCTTTTGAATTACGCTCCATTTCTGGCGGATAGCTTCCATATACATGATCCAAGGATGGCAAGTTGTTCTGTCAGAGATTGCTTTTATCTGTGTGCTAATGGCTTCATACCAGTTTTTTTTTTTTTTTTTTTTAAATTCTAACCTCCCACGTGGAAGTCGGATGAACAGAGGGAAGGGTTAGCAGGAGAAGATCAGATCGTAGCGGTAATTGCCTTTACATCTTAAACTGCCTCTTGTTTCGGTTATTGACTACTTCATAATTTCTGCTGGGTGCATTATTGCAACACCAGAAATGCAGAACACAAAAGTCTCATTGGAATTCAGGAAAAAAAAAAAAAAAAATCAAGGCACTTGGGCCAATGCTGTTTTTTTTTTTTTTTTCCCCCTCAGCTGGAGAACTTCATCCAGGAGAATGTTCGCTCAGGCATGGAGGAACTAAAACGAACCGCCGTGCACACCCAGACAGCCGCCATGCTAGAGATGGGGACCAACCTCCTCAGTCAATCAGCGGAGCAGACTCGCAAACTGACTGATGTTGAAACTCAGGTGAACTTACTCGCAAGGCTCCGTGTGAGGCTTGAGCTGCTAAAGAAGCACTTCAATCGCTGCTAAAGCGCTACATGGCAAGTCCGGGGCGCAAATTATTGCTATTCAGGCTTTGGACTGACACACCTATCTCGCTATGTGGGTCGATACACACGTGAGGAGCACGCGATGAGTATGTTTTCAATGACACCGGGCCAACTTCCACTGAAATCATTTGAAATGATATCGTATTACACGGCATACTTTAGCGACTAGTCTTGTCTTTCTCGACACGGTGTAGGTATTAAACCAGACGAGTCGCCTGGAGATCCAGCTGCTGGAGTACTCCCTTTTTGCCAGTCGCCTGGAGAAGCGTATCCTCCTGCAGACTCAAGAGATCGCACGCCTCAGTGACAAAAACAGGTGAAGAACATTTGCCGCGTTTGGAGTATGATTCCGCCTCGGGCGTTATGGCAGTGCCCGTCTTCTTTATTCTCTTGAAATAAAGACTTTTAAAGTCTCTGAATCACTCAAAGTAGCTTCGTCTCGTATGTCAAGGCGTCACTACATCAGTCAGTACGTATTTTTTTGTTTGTTTGTTTTAATTGGTGGGAAAAACAATTAACAACAATATCTGTGTATCTGTGGCCCTCTATCTATGCCAGCAACCTAGAGTGACAGAAAGAACAACTAAATGATCTATTAGATGGCAAAAAAATATGAAATGGACGAGTAGAACGAGACATTTATTTGTTTTGTCACGCCAATTTTATGCTGCTTTTAAATTAGCCAATAAGTGTGTCGGCGTGGTATTGCTCATATCGGAACAGGGAAAGGACTTTCAGGATAAAGCCAGTCCAGATCTGGGAAAACATGGCATTCACACTCGAATAAGCATTGTGCAGAGCATGTGGGAAGTGGACGCAGTAAAATGGCAGCGATCGCTAGGAGGGGTTTCCTATTCTTCTAAGTAGAAACACCGGAACATGAGGTCAGATTTTGGTCAGCGTGGGTTAAAGGCGGGTCAAGAATCAGCATGAAAACAAGTGGGTGGTTTTGTCCGACTGCGACGGTTGTTTTTCATTCCTTTCCGCCATTTTCATCTAAACGCCACTGCGAGATTCAAGCGCCTCGAGCTTTGCCACCTGTTTCTGTTTGTCTGGTCATCTTACGATGTCATCTCACGTAGAATTGTTTTAGCCTTGGCATTGACACACTGACTGGGAGATAAAAACAAATCCCTGCATTGGTTGATTGCCAATCAACTCATACCATGAGCACAATCCAGTATTCAGTTTCGACAAACCTAAAGCACTCCATACTGACATTTTCCTTTCCTTTTTTTTTTTGGTCAGTTTTCTCGAAGAGAGACTCTCGGCACTGGAGGCTCGTTACGGCACGGAGGTGCAGGGCTTGCAAAGTGAAAAGCAGCAGTTGTGGGAACTGATGCAACGGCAGGGCCGGCTGGTCGGCCAGCTCCAGGGCGAATTGGGCAGCGCAACCCTCAACAACACGCTGCTGCAAAGGCAGCAAGCTCAGCTCGCAGACAGAGTTGAGCAGCTACTAGCTTTGGTCAACCACTGCAACGGTAAATCGGACCCCCCGATGCAAGGCGAAAACAAATCTATCATGCAAATCATCTCCTACGATCTTCCATATGTCATCACTTGAGAAAATTCCGACTGAAAAAAAATCCCCAGTATGTTTTTGTTTTGCTCCATCCAGAAATCTCCCATATGCCCAGACAGGAGCCACCTCGCTTCAGGGATTGTGCAGAGATTCGACATTCTGGAGAAACAGCGAGTGGGGTATACAGCATACGCCTCACAAACTCCACCCGCTCCATCAAGGTAGTGCAACTCTGAAGGTCATTCATCTTCTTGGAGTAAATATCAGCTAAATGACTGCGACAGCCAGTATGTCATCAGAAGTATTGATTAAAGAGAATGCCTTGCTGTTTTTGTTTCTTATCATGAGTCCCCAAAGGCCTTGTGTTGTGTTTTGTGTGTGTGTGTGTGTGTGTGTGTGTGTGTGTGTGTGTGTGTTGCCGAATGTCAGAATAACTTGGGAGCTAGCTGTGGTTGCGCTGCAGCAACAAGCCCTTGTTAACTGGACCGTGGCCTCCTCCAGTGGCAAACCTGCTCCTGGTTAGGATTCAAGGCGGGTGTCCTCGCTGTCTGGTCTCAAGATCGCAGCATTTTTTTATTCGGCACTTTTATTGAAGTTTGCTCGCTGGCATCTCTTTCTTAGTTTCTGTTTTTCTGTGTGTGTGCGTGCGTGTGCGCGCGCCTGTTCTTGCTCAACCGCTGTGGGCCAAAGAGGCAGGTGTTAAGTAGTTGTGCCATGTGTTTTCTGTCAACGGCGGACAATGTTGGTTCGCAGTGATGCGAGTTGTAACACCCCAAATCACTGCTGCCTTCAATCTATGCGCTGAATGAGGCTGGCAAGCTGGGTAGCTTCAATAAGTGGTGCAGATGCACTTTTGTTCTATTTTTCAGAGATTTTGAATTCTCAGTTGGAGAAGCTTCCAAAAGTTAGAAATGTGTCTCATTATAGCAGTGGGTAAGTTCAGCAAAGACCGACATTGGAATCACTAAAGCTGTGAATAATGGGGACAATTTCAAATTCAATCAAATTTTAGCCTCGCTGTTTGTCAATAGTCGGGAAAATGGAGATTAAAAAAAAAATGGTGAGTTAAATTTAGAAATTGTCAGAAAGCTTTACGACAAAAAAATTTACGCCTAAATTCCTGATTTCATTTCTCGAGGTTTTCTGTGACATGGAGACCAGAGGTGGAGGATGGACCGTGTTCCAACATCGCAGGAATGGCTCCGTCGATTTCCATCGCGGATGGAAGGACTACAAATTGGTGAGTTTATCCGAGCGTAGGGTGGATCATTCGGTCAGGATTCGGATGTGTTTTAGCACGGCGAGACGTGGGATCGCCAACCTACCGCGTGATGCCGGGCGACCTGCCGTTGTTATGTTTGGCAGCTTTCGTGTTTTCTACCACCGCCCGTGTTATTGCACCTGCTCCTGCTCCCTCACCCTGTCAGACTCCCTCACATCCAAATATGCGTAGCCATACAACAAACACACATGCATGGTTTTCAATGACCCCCGAAAGGAATACTACTTCTGTATCACTTTTCAAGATCTCAATGCTTGGTTGAACATCGAGCCCAAGTGCTATTATTTTGTCTTTAAATCCTTCTCCGGCTTGCGTTTCAGAAATCTTCCTACAAACCTAGCAAAGAACATTATACAGTATATAATAACGGACACCCAGTACTTTGGGTTAGTTCACTTTGAGCGTTACAAGAAGACGGCAGGCGTGTTCAAAATCCGTTGTGTGTTTTGGTACCCTTAAAGCGCCAAAAAGTACCAGCCGCTAAATTATGAAGTTGAGTCAATAGACTCCATATCCCATTGACTTCAAAATACTTGTTCTAATCTGTTGACTGAATGAGTCCTGCATAGCTTGTTGAATGATTACAGAAACAATTCATTTCTTAATTGTCACAGCTCGGCTGAAACTAGAGGCGGAAAAAACTCCGACAGGGGAAGACCCTCCGGAGACGGCACAGTATATTACAATGGACACCCAGTACTTTGGGTTAGTTTACTTTGAGTGTTACAAGAAGACGGCAGGCGTGCTCAAAATCCGTTGTGTGTTTTGGTACCCTTACAGAGCCAAAAAGTACCAGCCGCTAAATTATGAAGTTGAGTCAATAGACTCCCTATCCCATTGACTTCAAAATATTTGTTCTAATCTATTCACTGAATGAGTCTTGCATATCTTTTTGAATGATTACAGAAGCAATTCATTTCTTAATTGTCTCAGCTCGGGCTGAAATGAAACTAGAGGCGGAAAAAACTCCGACAGGGGAAGACCCTCCGGAGACGGAGAAGAATTGAGGGAGTGAGAGAAAAACAAAACAAACAAACATGAAAATACTTCAAGAACAGTATTTTTTTAATTTTTTTTTCCAAGTGGATGGTAAACATTTGGCTCCAGTTGAGGCATGGGAGCACAGGGGCCCTGGTGGTGGCAGATAACATATATTATTTGATCCAGGTCCCCGCTCCTAATCCCACCGACTGCAATCAATATCACTAAACTGTTGTGGCCGGGTCTGCGGGTCACATGAGAAATGAAAGTGGGCTCGTACCTAAGCCACTCTATTCTTGCCTCGGAGCAATCTCTTGCGGGAACGTCAGACTCAAGCAGCCGGTGGCAAACAAGCATGCCGTTTCTTTCTTTCATGCGCTCTTTGTTTGGATGTAGAACCACCATCCCTCTTGATTTTGCGTGTCTTAAAGGAGACGCATTAGGAAAAAAAAAAAAAAAACGACTCCGTCATGTATTATGTGACAACATTTAGAGGTACGCGTCTGGACAGGCAAAGTGTTTTTATACTTCAAGAGCTTTCATGCATTCATACATCATGCAACAGTCATCGTGATGATGCACATTTGTTTCATGTTAAAAATAAGTCAGAAGCCCTTGTTCTGCAGCTATAAAGCAATTATTTCAGTGTTGAGAGTCAGGACGGTGCATTGAAAGCACATTAAAGCAAATTTAAGCCTCAGCTGACTCATTCGTAGTGTGACCTCCACATCTGAGTATTTAGTGTCTCCCGCCATTCGAATGATCAACGTGACTCTTCAATTATTGACGTGATCATAGTGGCCGCAAAGACACTTGGCAGGTCCTTGAAAAAAAAAAAACGCCCACTCAATTAGCCTCTTTGTCTTTGTGACCGGGTCCAGGGATTTGGAGAGCCTTCGGGGGAACACTGGCTGGGAAATGACATTGTCCATAAAATGACCAGATCTGGGGAATACAGCCTGCATGTCCGGTTGAAGGACAGAGACGGCAATGAGGCCTACTCGCACTATCAACGCTTTTACATCGAGGGAGAGGAGCGCAACTACAGGTAACGTGGGACCGGGAACACCTGTCGGACTCGCGATGATAACATTACCCGGAGGCAACGTCAAGTCAACTTCAACTTGCTTTCTTTCCTTCGGGCATGTGAAAGGACTCCCAAATCAGTTTGCTCTTTACCATCCGAATGTTAATTCGGAGATTTCTATGATGAAAGAGAAAAGGAAATCCCTCCGGCGGCATCATAGCCGACAATCGACAATTTTCGATACTCATCCCCAAGCCAGGCACACACATGGTGGCAACCACAACGCAAACAGCGGCTTAACCGACTAACAAGATGGAGCGTGGGAGTTCTGCGATTCCTTCCGAGCTGACATCGGAACGCCCAAATCGCAACATTTATGCTTCACATCAATTTCAAAGCGACGTGTCTCTGACCGCCCGTGGAGACGAGCGCTCGGTGAAATGACAAGTCACAATCAAACGTGGGTGTGCATTTCCCAAGATCTGCGGCAGCGCATAGAATTCCATTGAGTTCAGTTGGTTCCACGTAATTAGCGCAGTAAAAGCATGTGTGGATTTTTTTGTTTGTTAATGCTTGGTTGAACATCGAGCCCAAGTGCTATTATTTTGTCTTTAAATCCTTCTCCGGCTTGCGTTTCAGAAATCTTCCTACAAACCTAGCAAAGAACATTATACAGTATATAATAACGGACACCCAGTACTTTGGGTTAGTTCACTTTGAGCGTTACAAGAAGACGGCAGGCGTGTTCAAAATCCGTTGTGTGTTTTGGTACCCTTAAAGCGCCAAAAAGTACCAGCCGCTAAATTATGAAGTTGAGTCAATAGACTCCATATCCCATTGACTTCAAAATACTTGTTCTAATCTGTTGACTGAATGAGTCCTGCATAGCTTGTTGAATGATTACAGAAACAATTCATTTCTTAATTGTCACAGCTCGGCTGAAACTAGAGGCGGAAAAAACTCCGACAGGGGAAGACCCTCCGGAGACGGAGAAGAATTGAGGGAGTGAGAGAAAAACAAAACAAACAAACATAAAATCCGTTGTGTGTTTTGGTACCCTTACAGAGCCAAAAAGTACCAGCCGCTAAATTATGAAGTTGAGTCAATAGACTCCCTATCCCATTGACTTCAAAATATTTGTTCTAATCTATTCACTGAATGAGTCTTGCATATCTTTTTGAATGATTACAGAAGCAATTCATTTCTTAATTGTCTCAGCTCGGGCTGAAACTAGAGGCGGAAAAAAACTCCGACAGGGGAAGACCCTCCGGAGACGGAGAAGAATTGAGGGAGTGAGAGAAAAACAAAACAAACAAGCCGGAAAATACTTCAAGAACAGTACTTCTTTCTTTTTTTTTTATTTTTTTTTCCAAGTGGATGGTAAACATTTGGCTCCAGTTGAGGCATGGGAGCACAGGGGCCCTGGTGGTGGCAGATAACATATATTATTTGATCCAGGTCCCCGCTCCTAATCCCACCGACTGCAATCAATATCACTAAACTGTTGTGGCCGGGTCTGCGGGTCACATGAGAAATGAAAGTGGGCTCGTACCTAAGCCACTCTATTCTTGCCTCGGAGCAATCTCTTGCGGGAACGTCAGACTCAAGCAGCCGGTGGCAAACAAGCATGCCGTTTCTTTCTTTCATGCGCTCTTTGTTTGGATGTAGAACCACCATCCCTCTTGATTTTTAATGAGTTACATTTCCTGAGGTGAAAGCTCAAATCGGTCCAAATGGTAACCGATATTCCAACGTAATTGCCGTTGCTTAAAGGGGACGCATTATGAAAGAAAAAAAAAACGACTCTGTCATGTATTATGTGACAACATTTAGAGGTACGCGTCTGGACAGGCAAAGTGTTTTTATACTTCAAGAGCTTTCATGCATTCATACATCATGCAACAGTCATCGTGATGATACTCATTTGTTTCATATTAAAAATAAGTCAGAAGCCCTTGTTCTGCAGCTATAAAGCAATTATTTCAGTGTTGAGAGTCAGGACGGTGCATTGAAAGCACATTAAAGCAAATTTAAGCCTCAGCTGACTCATTCGTAGTGTGACCTCCACATCTGAGTATTTAGTGTCTCCCGCCATTCGAATGATCAACGTGACTCTTCAATTATTGACATGATCATAGTGGCCGCAAAGACACTTGGCAGGTCCTTGAAAAAAAAAAAACGCCCACTCAATTAGCCTCTTTGTCTTTGTGACCGATCCAGGGATTTGGAGAGCCTTCGGGGGAACACTGGCTGGGAAATGACATTGTCCATAAAATGACCAGATCTGGGGAGTATAGCCTGCATGTCCGATTGAAGGACAGAGACGGCAATGAGGCCTACTCGCACTATCAACGCTTCTACATCGAGGGAGAGGAGCGCAACTACAGGTAACGTGGGACCGGGAACACCTGTCGGACTCGCGATGATAACATTACCCGGAGGCAACGTCAAGTCAACTTCAACTTGCTTTCTTTCCTTCGGGCATGTGAAAGGACTCCCAAATCAGTTTGCTCTTTACCATCCGAATGTTGATTCGGAGATTTCTATGATGAAAGAGACAAGGCAATCCCTCCGGCGGCATCATAGCCGACAATCGACAATTTTCGATACTCATCCCCAAGCCAGGCACACACATGGTGGCAACCACAACGCAAACAGCGGCTTAACCGACTAACAAGATGGAGCGTGGGAGTTCTGCGATTCCTTCCGAGCTGACATCGGAACGCCCAAATCGCAACATTTATGCTTCACATCAATTTCAAAGCGACGTGTCTCTGACCGCCCGTGGAGACGAGCGCTCGGTGAAATGACAAGTCACAATCAAACGTGGGTGTGCATTTCCCAAGATCTGCGGCAGCGCATAGAATTCCATTGAGTTCAGTTGGTTCCACGTAATTAGCGCAGTAAAAGCATGTGTGGATTTTTTTTTGTTTGTTTGTTTGAAATAAAGCTCCAGTGTCACGTATTAATGGCACACGTTTGTTACTATCGCCCCGTCATATCTTCATAAAACGACCACCGCAAGAGGAGCGTTTTCCCTTCCAGGCGGGTTGCTGTTGCTATGCTTGAAATGACATAACTCAGGGGGAGTCGTGTGCTAATGAGAACGAAGCCAAGCCAGACATCTGCACCCTTTAAAGCGCCAGTGACACACGGAACCACACAAAACCACATGCGCTGAATGAAAATGACTGTGTGATGTAAAAGTGGTCAGAAGATTGTTTTTTTTTTTTAATTTCCCCTCCCATAAGGCACTGCATAAAGAAGTATGGCAAATGATTTGGATTCATGGTGCTGCAGCCAAAACTTCAAAGTCACCAAAATCCATCCAATCGTTTCATGTTAAGTCCCCACATTAAACTCCATATGAGCAAATACTTTGGTAACTAAGGTAAAGAAGAACCCGGGGGCAAAAACCTTGACTCCGTCGCCATCTCCCTCGACAACGAGCAGATACTTTGGTAACTAAGGTAAAGAATATAGCTCCCCTCCAACAAGAAGAACCCGGGGACAAAAACCTTGACTCCGTCGCCATCTCCCTCGACAATGTTGGCTTGACATCATGTGCGTTTAAAAACCGCAATGATTGTTCGCAGCCCTTATCGCAAGACGCCAAAACTTGGACCGAGCGCCGGAGCCTCTGACGATATCCTGTCAATATTTCGGACCTCTTCAAAAATAATCGGCTGTGTGACTTCCATCAGTAGCATTTTTACTGATTCCAATTCCTCCCCTCTTCTTTTCAATGTTGCCCAACGCAGCCTTCACGTTGAGGGCTTCAGCGGGACGGCTGGACGGACCAACAGCATGGCCCACAGCGGCACCCAGTTCAGCACCAAGGACAGAGATAATGACCGTTGCACCTGCAAGTGTGCACAGTTGGCATCTGGAGGTGCGAAGCTTCCCTCACCTGATCCCAAGCACATGATGTCTCAGTTTGCCTCGCTTGCATATAACCTCCCCGATTATGACCAAATATTGTTGCATGCCTGACGAACAAGCCTATGAGCGTCAGTCGGCGCCTTAAAGTAGACTTTTTTTGGAGACACGGTATCACGTCCGGTGAGTGTTGATTGAAGTTGCTCGACTTATGATTTCATCCCCAGGTTGGTGGTTTGAGGCTTGCGGACCATCCAACCTGAATGGTGTGTACTACCCCAGCTCATCCAGTGTGGTTCGCTACAACGGCATTAAGTGGTACTATTGGAAAGGACCAAATCTGAGGGTGACCATGGCAACCATGATGGTGCGTCCAGCAAACTTCTAATGGCTGTTTATTTTCGGTCAGACTTTCCTCATCCATCGTGGACACCACAGTATTTGAGAACCCGATTCGAGTTAGAATCGGTGGCAGTGGATCCATTGTGAATCGATGCCCCGTCAAAAGAAGGTTTGAAATTTCCAATCCATGCCACAATATGGCAGCAAAGTATTCCTCTGGCCCGAATTAAACTCCTCAACTCACTTCAACAAATGCAGACCTGAAGATCGGAAATATATTCGATGCCAGTGAGGACTTGACTCGACTTGATTTTTAATCAAATATAATCACACATTTTGAAAACGATTTGTTTTTCGATTTAGTTTTAACATTTTACAATATGACAACCATGCACTTACTTCAGATTGTCACTGAAACAAGGACAACCATAACAAATGACTTTGCCCTTCCAAAGTGAAGCATTCACATTCTTCCCTGTCCTGACTCTCATGAAATATTCATTTCTGAGTGATTTTGCTCATCAAAGCATATTATACATCCTTACCAGGGGTGGTTTATTTTCGAAATGCATTTGCTATAACGTCTTGGGACAACTAAAAAGAACAGAGCATGTGCATTTTCTGTTGTCACGGCAACCTCACACTTGACTTGCACGGCTGTTTGGAGAAATGATCCAGGAGCGCCCGTCCCTGCAGTTCCTATTAGCGTGCAAATGTTTGCCACCTGCATCCGCCGTGTACACTGAGCGTGTTCTCTGAGCGGCATCTGGCAATTTAATGCGACTGGACACAGCTTGTTTCGCCGAGTGGACTGGAGATCATTTTTAATTCCTTATTTTCCCCAAGAAAAGAACACCTATTTGCTGATCATGTCAAAATATGTGTTCCGCACAGTAAATTCTTCCGTTCTCTGCAAATTGCCTTTTCTTTGTGAGGCTTCACTGAACCTGTGAAGGACTCAACCAGCCTTAACTGTCTTTGATTTACTCCTCCATTAGGAAAAATGCAGGACACGCTCAGCACAGTCGAATTGCTCTGTACAATGAAGCGCTATTAAATTGCCGGTGCGGCGTATTAACATACAACGTGAGCATAAATATCCGATAAAATCACACCGTTATATAGAAAAATGGATGCGGCGCACATCATCACATACGGATGTTACGGTCGCACCGACGGTGACAACACACATATACACCGCCACGTACACAGCGCTAAGACCAAGTGACGGTGTTGCTTTGTTAGTTTATTAGAGCCTCCAAGGGACTGGACAGGCTATAGATCACAACGGGGCAATGCCGGGAATGAATCCATCAAAGCGACTTTAATAAAGTCGGGATTTGGCCGACTGGCTCAACAGATGAAATGTTTACGTTCGGGTCCAGTGAAGAAGACCAAACTCCCGACTTTTCCCGGTGCCCGTTTATCAGATTTGAAGGAGAGGCAAAAGTGAAGCAAGCGGTGCGTCGCAATGTCAACCACTCTTTCCTCATGATGTGGAACACAAGGCGGCCACAATGGATGTGGCGAAAATGTTCAAGAGAGTCACTGCTAGAAGTGCCCTGCGCACGGCATTCGGCTTCAAGGCGCACCCTAAATGCGTGATGAGATTAAGAGATGAACTTACTTTGACCGTCGCTATACTGCAGCTGTTCAATGTTTCAATACTTTTTGCACCAGTTGCTGTTTTCTAACAGGGGGCTGAACAGCAAAATTCAAACGGATGTTCATTTCCAGGTCCAATTAGAATTGATGTTTAAACGGTCCTCTTTATCACGCTAAATGGCAGGGGCCCGTTATTTATCTGTACTTGTGGATACCGATGCCAGCGTTTTGAATTTGACGTATGGGGACACTAACGTTAACACTTTTTAGGAACACCCCAAATTATTTCTGATGTATATTTACTGATCCAACCAAATTTGACACATTAGCTGTGATGATGTATCGAGTGCCTGAGTTGACGTTGACTTCATTTTAGATGATAAACCAAGACAAAGCAGGAATGGTTTTTTTTTTGGGGAGCGTGACAAATATCTCATACTGGATATTTCATGCAAAGTTAGCAAAAAAGTAATAAAATAATTGAAAGAGCCAGAGAGAAATGAGCTTGTGAGTGAATTCATCTACCGTTGCGTGTTTATCCATGACTCGCTGTTGCACCAGCAGTTTAGGCTTGACTGAGAAATGGTCCCGCGCTAAAGGCCACGTGCTCATAAGTCTTTGTCTCTCTCCTCTTTTGCGTCAGCGTCTTTGATTCATAACGGGTGCTGCGGATGGCCGGGGCTCGGCCCAGGTATGTGTTTGGCAGGCGCGCAGAAGAGGAAGGTGCTCGGGTCTGATTTGTCCTCGTCATCCGTGCCGCGGTGGTTTACTGTGTCAGCATGCAGAGCGTTTACCTGTGGTCATCGAAAAAGCAATAGCGGCCATATATCAGCCTGCCACTTGCAATACATCAGCTACTATTTCTTCTTTAGACAAAAAGCAAAGCAGCACTACTGCCCCCGTGGTGAATAAAGCGGCCGCCCACCATCCCGTCACTTGGGGGCGCTGGTGCACAGAGAATCCGTTTGGAAGACCACCACAGGTCTGGAATTGAACCGTGCATTCATTCAACGCCTCCTCCTTATGCTCTTTTCAACTTAGACGTGGTAAACAAAGAGCAGGACATGAAACAAGATGACAGCGTCGTCAGTGGGTGAATACCAGATGCTCTCATTAACAGCACTCCTAAAAAATAAAAATGACGCTGTCATTTGCTGTTGCGGTTATGAAATGGCTCCGATCACGTCTCAGCTTCAGAATAGTTTGGAGTAGGGACATGACAGCCCTCTGGTTTTCCTTCTGGCTACACCACCTAATGAATGTAAGGTGTCTTATATCTTGTGCAGATTCACATGTAAATAACATGCAAATAAAAGTGCTCCTCAGTTGTCTCGTTCATATTTTGGCATCAACTCAAATGCTTTCCATCTAAGGAAAAAAAAACAAAAAACAAAATAAAAAAAACATCACAGAATTGCTAATCCACAAAGGAATAAAGTCGAAAAAGTTTCACTTTCTTTACTTGACGCTGTCATTTGCTGTTGCGGTTATGAAACGGCTCCGATCATGTCTCAGCTTCAGAATAGTTTGGATAAGGCGTCTTCAAACAGAAGGTTGCATCTTATATCTTGTGCAGATCCACATGTAAATAACATGCAAATAAAAGCTTAAGTGCTCCTCAGTTGTCTCGTTCATCTTTTGGCATCAACCCAAATGCTTTCCATCTAAGGGAAAAAAAAAACCTACATTAAAAAAAAAAAAAAAACATCAGAAAATTGCGAATCCATAAAGGAATAAAGTCGAAAAAGTTTCACTTTCTTTACTGTTGAATGTCCGGTTGAAATGTCTGTCAACAGTTTTGCTGTCATCGCAGCTGGCTTGAGCCGACAACCGGTGATTCATACATCATGTTGATGTGTACAGTTTACCCTCCCTAAGTGGCGTGTGAACAAGATGTAAAGCAGCCAGACGGAGCTGAGAGGCTCACTTGATGTACAACTCCATGTCGGAACAAGTGCAACGTGAGATTTAAGTCACTCTGGATGCGGTAGGATCATCGCGGGCGTGCAAGTTTGACGATGCAAAAAAAAAAAAAAAAAAAAAATAT